TAATAAAGTGTGTGACGACAAACCCGATTGTCCAGGAGGAACAGATGAGTCCAACTCCACAGCACAGCTGACCTGCAGTACGTACCGGGGGTTTTTTTGTTTTTAACTTAGACATTAAAAACTTGCAAATATGAATGAAGCTGAAACAAAAACACAATTAGTAACAATATACCTTCTAAAATGAATGTACATTTTTATTCTAGATTAAATAATATTAAGATACTGAACTATTAATATTAAGGTAAGTCTTTATGGTCTTCAGGCAAAACTGCATGAACAGAATAAACATAAGCGGATGGGATTGTGTCCGTAAGTGACTTGCAGAACTTTTAAAGAGCCTTTTATTGAAGGGACAAGGGTTTTGCGAGTCAAGATTCACAGAAGTCAGCTGTCAAGACTCCAATAAAACATAACCTTTACATTCCTTATCATTTCCTTCACACATTTTTACAGCAACATGTCTCTGGTAATTATCTTGCTAATGATGGCTGTAAAGCTGCTTCTTGTATAGATAAGGAGCGGCAAACAGGCTTGTTAGACGATCTCCTACGTAGGCACAAAATGAAATACGGTTTTACGTTATGAAGTTAAATCTTATTATGGTATGCAGGTTAAATTTAAATACACGTTTCTCTGAGCCAATGGGATTTTGTTGTTTTTATTTACCCTATATAGAAGTAAAAATATATCCAGCGTTATTATTGTGTTTCAATAAGAAATGTAGCTTATACTTTGTACTTTGTATCATTTTTTGCAAAGATAATGGGACAATTTGTTTTAATGTATCCTAGTGAGTGATGGTAGTTGTGTTTTGGGGGTTTTGTTCTGTGGTTGGTTTTTAATTTAAATACATTGTACAGTACAAATGTAACTAAGTATTAAGTTACTCGTATATATACATATAAATAAATATATATATAAAAATGACGCTTGACCAGTGGTGTGGGGAAAATTTTCCATGAGGGTTGCAGTACCATGTTTTCAATGTATATTCACCAATTATTTAGAGGGGCGCTGTTTTACACATCATAACCCGAGGGAATGGCGAGACGAGACAACAATGTTTCTATTAAATGGCGGTTATATTCTGGGTTTTTCCAAGTTGATAACCTATGATTTGCTGCATGATTCTGGAATGGCTTTATTTCTTTGAACTCTGAAGTATTTCGGCATTTTAAGGTCTATATTTACAACTTGAAGTAGCTCGTTAGCTTAGCACTTGTAAACTAACCACACTTAGCCTCACTGTGAAAAAATGCCTGACAAATAGAAGTATTGTCCAGTTTCACTTATTTTATCCGACTATAATTTTGTATGTAACTTGTCTTTGAGGACAAAAAATATTTATTATTCATTTAAGTCTCAATATATTTGACATCATTGGAAATCCCCTGCGGTGCATTTCTTCAGGTAAGACAAACATAAGTTCACAATATGGCTGCCCAAGATACTAAAGTGTAAAACTCCCTGTATTGTGTTGTGAGTTGTAAGAAGTAGAAAAAACTGATACATTTAAAACTGAAACATTTAAAAACGTATTAAAAAACTTATTTCATCATTTGTTCTGAATTTGTTGTTTCTCACAATGCAAATGGAAGACAAAAAACAAAACAGCATAACAAACAACCCAGTTTACTTCCTGTGAGTGTTTGCTTGAATTAGAAAAAACTGAAATAATATCTTTTCCTTATTTAAAAAGTTGTTTTTAACTTTGCTTGAATTAGAGCATTACAAAGAATAAAAAAACTGAAATAATATTTTTTCCTTATTTAAAAAGTTGTTTTTAAACTGACTTCAGTTAGTTGAGGTCATCATCACATCTACAAGCACTATTGTCCACTAATTATTTTATTTTATTTTTGCCCTCAGGCCTTGATCGCTGCTCTTTATTTTAACCACCTTTTGCCCTCAGGCCTTGATCGCTGCTCCACTTTGAGCTGTGAGTTCCACTGTCACCCGTCTCCTCAAGGAGGCTCTTGCTACTGCCCTGATGGTTTTGTTGTAGCCAATGACAGTCGTACCTGTGTCGGTAAGTTTTGAAATATTTGGCTCTTTGTGGATCTATAATTATGTTCAACTTCTGTTTTTTAAATAGGTTTTCTTTTATAGATTTAGAGTTAAGGTTGGTTTAATGCAATTTTATTAAATTATTCAACTTTGTTATGAACATATTCTTCTTATTTATTTCACTATCCTTTTGTTTTTACTACTACTCCCTTGGGATGGACATTTTCAGTTATTTTACCATTCATAATCGCTCACTCTTCGATAAATAGAACTTGAGAATTGTATTTGTATTTAGAAAAAGTGGGGGGAAAGGACATTAAGGTATTTATATATTGATATGTTTAATTGTACTCCAAGTTCTTCCAGTTCTTGACCAGACATTGGAAACCACTGTTTGTTTCACATTCAGATTATAATGACTGTGAAATCTGGGGAATCTGTGACCAGTTGTGTGAAGATCGTCCTGGAACGCACCATTGTAGCTGTGCTAATGGATATTTTTTGGAGCAAGGTCATGTCTGCAAAGCCAACGTGTCAGGTACAAATTAGATATTAGCTTATTTCCAATTGCACAGTGTATTATAAATATCTGTTTATTTTTACAACAGAAACGGAAAGTCCAGTTTGAATGTCAGCTAGGAAGGACATGGGAAATACTGGTTTACCTTAAAGAATGTTTTGCTATTTTTGATTTAGTTCAGATTAAGTGTTTAGCACACTATATAATAGATGTGACTTCTTTTGCCATTGTTTTCCCATATATATATTATTCCCTTATATTAAACAAGTAACAAAAAATACAAAATTATAATAATTAATAATTTGCTTCTATTTGTCTGTAAACCACCTCACATCATTTAAATCGTAAATTTAATATTTGATATTTGATTGATATTTGATTCGTGTTATTTTTTCAGGTGGATTACCACAGCTCATCTTTACAAATGGTGGTGATGTGGAAATAGCAGATATACATGGACGCTTTGTCAGAGTTTTGGTGCCATCCCAAGGCAGGGGTTATGCAGTGGGTGTGGCCTATAATGCGCACAGTGAAATAATTTTTTGGAGTGACACTTACACCAAAAAGGTCAGTGTCCTGTCACTGTCAGATGACATTTACATTTTTTATGTTATTGTGAAATGCTGCACAAGGGGTTACTGTATAGTTCTTTTCTTCAAAGGCATGAACTTTGGTTTGTTTTGCTAGGTCTATTCTACAAACTACAATGGAGGAGACATTAAGGAAGTTCTAAATGCTGCAGTTCATGATGTCCAAAACTTGGCCGTGGACTGGATCAACTTTAAACTCTATGTCTTAGAAGCCAGGGTTGAGCGTATTGACATGTGTGAATTCGATGGTAGGAATCGGGTCACACTGGTCGCCGAAAACCTGGTGACACCACATGGCCTTGCCCTGGATCCTACAGTGGGGTGAGTTGACAAGACAAGATAATGCCTTGTCCAGATATATTTATTTAAACATCAACATTTAAATCTACTTGAAGTTGATGAAAAATTCTAGATTTCAATATGTCTTTTTTTGTTTTATAAGACTGTAAACAATTAAATATTTTATTATGATTAATCACAGAGTAATTTTGGATTAATCATATTAAGCCTGGTTAATCATAATTAATCCAGATATAAATACATATTCCTTAATATGACAAATTTCTTTGGAACAAAGGACACATCAACAGTTAAAAGCATGTGTTTCACAGATGTTTTTGTGACTAATCCGAAAAGAATTAGCTATTGGTTTTCACTAAATAGAATAACAAACGCATTAATCTTGACAGCCCTACTTAATTGATAATGATGATGTCACATCCAGAGGTACTTTATTGTGCTTATGGGAGAGAATAATCCTAAATTGTAATGATTAACTTCAGCACCGAAATAGTTCAAATATGAGACTCAGACACAACAGGACGCTAATGTGGTTTAAACAGTAGATTTAGAAATTTCAGGTCTGGGTAGAATGCTAACTTTGTAATAAGTAACATTACCAACCCCACACCGCAGAGTATTACATAGCTGATTTGTGATCTCTTATTTGCAGCTACATGTTCTTCACAGACAAGGGTATTTCCAATGAGCAGGTGAAGCTTGAACGTGCCTTCATGGACGGCAGTAATCGATTGGAGCTGGTGAAAAGCAGACTCGGCACACCAACGGGAATTACCCTCGACATTGTCACACAGAGGGTCTACTGGTCTGATAGCCACTTTGACACCGTGGAGACAGTAACGTACAATGGGTTGCAGAGGTAAACGCGTCACTAGAGCTGTCGTTGAAGAGTTAATGACATCTAGAGCATTGTTTCCCAAAGACTGGGTCGCGTCCCTCAGGTGGGTCGCAAGAGATTTTTTCATTTTGGGTCGTCCTGCATCATTCCCAGGAGTTTACGAATAATGTCTATTGACTTGGGTCACGACGGTAAAAATTTGTGACTTTTAAAATATGGGTCCCCAGAAAAAAAAGTTTGGGAAACACTGATCTAGAGAGTCGACTTTCCTTTGACTTAAATTGTACGTCTAAAATAAACATTTCCAACATGAATGCAACTTCTCACAAGACACATTTCCACCTTAGCTGTGGATTTATACTTCTTTAAAAAGATTAGAACAATTTTCCTAAGCTACATTGTTTTGCTGAGAATTATGATTTCTAATCTATTCAATTGCATCACATACAGATCAACTGAAGCAATTATTAGGATTATTTATTAACAAAACAACTTTTACAAAAATATCACTTACGAATTGCACTTGCATTGATCCGTTTGCACCTGTTTAGATCACTAAGCACAGATATGGCATGGGCCCAATGATAAATCAAAGACTTGTTCTTGATTGTCAGGAAAATAGTTCTTAATGGCATGACCCAGGCGCCACATCCGTTTGGGATCGCTGTGTTTGAAAACCACGTATTCTTCACCGACTGGACAAAGATGGGTGTGATGAGAGCAAACCGGTTCAATGGCAGCAATCCATCTCTCCTCTACCGCACTGCAAGTAGGCCGGGTCATGTTGTGGTTTCACATCCTGTCCTTCAGCCCTTTGGTAAGGAAATGAACCTTTATTCTTCTTTTCATGGAACTCTCTGGATCTATTCTGTCTCTGTGACTAAATTCAAAATTACAACAATATTCTTACTATATTTTGTCATTTATCATGTTAACTTCGTCATGTCTTGCACATCAACTCCTATAGTAGTGTGTGCAGTAGTGATTAAAGTGTGGCAAAAGTAGAAACAAACTCAAGCAAAAGCAAGTAAAGCCAGAGCCGAGTTATAATAAGTGGACACCAGTGGGTCGGGGACCAGTACAGGTACTGGTACCCCCGTAGTATAGCAAGAATAAAAAGTTAAAATTTACATGTTCTAGTCTGCCTGTTATTTTGTTTTGGAACAAAACAATTGCAGATTTTTGTTTCATGCACCAGTACTAGGTCAAACGTGTTTTGGCAAAAAATGAGTGAAACCCATGTGGCTGGAGAGCTTCATTCCTTTATAAAACATTGATGCTGTTAACACTGCCATGGGAAAATGTCTCAGCTCTTTAACATCCGTCTTGTTTTAACAGTGATGAACCCTTGTGGCAGACACAACGGTGGCTGTCACCACATTTGTGTTTTAAGTCACCGCACCGACAATGATGGCCTCGGATTCCGCTGCAAGTGTCGCCATGGTTATGACCTAAACACTGATCTTCGCACTTGTTTCAGTGAGTACAATTTCAAAATCATTCATTTATGTCTTAATAACAAGTTTGAATTTCAGAATCATTCATTTATGTCTTAATAACAAGTAAATAAATCCAAAATATGTATCTTTTTAGTCTTCTTTTGGCTTTTTTATTTGGACCATTTTTTAAGTGTAGCAACAGATACTTGGCAGATATTCCAAGTTGTATTATCAGTATCAGCGTTGGACATGAAGAACTTATATTCGGCCATATCTAATTTTAACCACAATCACTACCATGTTAGGTACTTTTGATTTAATTATGGTTTAAATCAGAGTAGCTGGTAATAATGCGCTCCTCTCGCTGTTACAACAGAGCTAAAGAGTTACTTGCTGTTGGCCACCAGTCTTGCGGTGCGGGGAATCCCTCTGAACATGTCCCTGCAGGAAGACGTTACTCTGCCCCTCACAGGGCTGGGAGTGTCCTTCTCTGGCTCAGCAGTGGAATATGACACCAACGAGGAGACCATTCTCTACAATGACCGCTCCGCAGGCCTCATCTATAAATCAAATCTTAATGGCACAGGTGAGTTTCAAATTAAACGTTATCACACCATGAACATGTGCTATCTTTGGGCCATAGTTTCTATTTACTAAAAAAAAATATTATTATTCTCTGTTATACAATGGTTGCAGAAAAAAATCTACTTTTGTGGCCCCAGTATCTCTAGTAGTAGTAGTCACTGATACCGTAGCTTCTTGTCTGATCTTTGTGGGGCCAGCCAGCTCCATCTGTACCCTCCTAAATATTATATGTCTTTATCCAGTTCAACAGATATTGACAGGCTACAGAGTCGGAACAGTTGATGCCATGGCTTATGACTGGACCAGCAAAGTTTTGTTTTGGACCTCAAGCAGTTACAGGACGGTGTCAGCCTTCAGGCTCACGGACAAATCCAGACGAGACCTGGTTACTGGCCTGAGGAATCCGAAAGGAATTGCAGTGCATCCTGGTGCTGGGTAAGTGAAACCGTTTTATCAGGCAGTGACATTGGCTGGAAATCAAGGTGCGTCCAAACCTCAGTTTTAACCCATAGTTAGGCCATATCATTATTTTGATCATCTTGGCAATTGGAAAAAATACATCTCCCTTTGTTATCATGTCAACAGCTACTTGTTCTGGTCTGACTGGTACCGTCCAGCTGTCATCATGAGAGGCTTCACTGATGGCAGCAACGCTGTTCCTCTGGTCAACACAACTCTAGGTTATCCACATGGACTCTCTTTAGACTATGTGTAAGGCCAGATGCATATCTGATTTTTGTCATGAACTACCATTTTTAGGAGCAGTAATGAATGACATTTAATTCGTCTGAGACAGGACAGACAGGCTGTATTGGGTCGATTACCAGTTGGACCAAATTGGTCACATTGGTATTCAGGGCTATGACAGAGAGACCTTCACCAACCTGGGTCAGATCACACAGCCCTACTCTTTAACCATTTATGCTGGTAAGTTCCTTCATTTAATTTACCGAGATTGCAACCATTTATTCCCTTTTTGTATAACAATGTGATGTTACTTAACCGTTACCCATTTTGTGTTTCATAGATTATTTGTATGTTGCTGACACACGGACCAAGGCAATATTCGAGATGAGGAAGCGGGACGGCGGCGGAAACATTATGGTCAGACAAGGAATCAATGGTTTAATGAACATTAAGGCCTACACAGCTGACTATCAAAGCAGTAAGTTCCCTCTGATGAAGCTACGACATACTACATACAAAACGATGGGGCGTTATGATCGTATTTTAAAGTGCCACAAAAAAATAATGTGTGTACGCTCTGTATTAGAATACAATAGAATAGTCCTTATTGTCATTGTAACACGGGGGTACAACGAAATTAGATCAGTGTTGCCTGTTGCACATATGGGCAATATTTCTAAGCTATATTTATTCAAATATTCTTATTTTCTATATTATAAATGAGAAAAAATATGCTAAAATGATATACATTTGTGATGTCAGAAGTGATGTCATTTTTAAAATTTTTTTTGCACTAATTGCAATATTTCAAGTCATCTCTTATTCTTCTAACAGCAATCAAAAGCCAGTGTAACACGGTGGCCAACGGGCGCTGCAGCCACTTTTGCTTTCCTACTCCGTCGTTCAGTCGAGTGTGTGGCTGTCCGTACGGCATGAAACTGCAGCCCAATCAAAGAGACTGCATCAAGGATGATTCCATTGTCCCCCCGGACAACCTCTGTGGAGACAATGCCTTTGAGTGTGATGAAGGACGTTGTCGACCTAACTCCTTCCGCTGTGATGGAATTGTAGACTGCATAGACAAGACTGATGAGACCAACTGTACAGATTCAGGTAAAAAAAAAAAACAACCTGATGGTCATTTCACATTTCTGCAGTGCTTTATATTTAGTGATTCCAAATCATTTTTTTTTTTTTCAAAAAGAAATATGAGATGAATGTTTATAAAAAAAACGTCACTTTCATGTGTGTCCAGGTGCAACTTGCTCGCCGTATGCATTCACGTGCAACAACAAACACTGCATCTTGAAGCGCTGGCACTGCGATGGTGTTGACGACTGCGGTGATGGTTCTGATGAAGTGAACTGTCCCACCCGTATCCCCACCACATGCGCAGCTGACCGTTTTACCTGCGACAACAACAGGTGTGTTTCCAAGCAATGGTTGTGTGACGGTTACAACGACTGCGGCGATGGCTCTGATGAACACAACTGCAGTGAGTTTGAAGGCTGCCCTTCCATTCGCATTTCAGTCTGATTTAATGTACGCACATGGTTCACATAGGGTCTAAGAAAAGCCCTCTGTCTGTGACCGGCAGATTCAACAATCACGACTTGCCCACCTTCTTATTTCCTGTGCCCTGACCATGGCTGTATCCACAACTCCTATGTCTGTGATGGAGATCAGGACTGTCTGGATGGATCTGATGAGAAAGACTGTGGTAGGAATGACTTTAATAATTTAGTCATAATGTTACATTAATCACTTGGCTAACAAATGTGTGACAGTTTGGTAAAGTCAAATAAAAAGGAAATGAAAAGGATGGTCATTTATGACAGGAATAGTAAAAAACAGTATAACGACGTAACATTGTAGCGTGTGGATAAATATAGTATGTGATGTGTTTGTGGTTCGTATTTCTTCTTCTTTTTCATGCGAAGAATTCTCTTGTGCATCCTACGAGTTCGCCTGTGCCAGTGGTGACCAGTGTGTCAGTACCAGATATCAGTGTGATGGCGTGTATGACTGCAGGGACCATTCTGATGAACGAGACTGCCGTAAGCCCCGCTATGATTTATGCTACCACATGTATTGTCAACATCAGCAACAGTTCAGGAACTGGTATCAAAATCTAAACTCAAGACCATTTTTAATAAGTAAGGTTTACACAACATTGGGTCATTTGTGAAAAGCATTGGTCCAAGTCCTACGTTTAAAACCAGGGTCAAAGAAGTTGTGAGATTAATTAGTAAAGTCTGCTTAATAATTAATAATAATAATTAAGTCCTTTATTTGTCCCACAATGGGGAAATTCAAAATATGAGTCTTTTCAACCCACATGGGCTGCTACTGGAGGTGCCTTTCAGTATAAGGTTGCAACCCACACAGGTTGCCACCAGTAGCACCAGTAAGTATCCAGTGTTTCTTCTGGGGCTTGAACCCCTTCTGCATGTAAGGCAGATGTGTAATGTGGTTCCTGCGGGGCTTGAACCCCTTCTGCGTGTAAGGCAGATGTGTAAAGTAGGTGTTATAACCGCTGCACTATGGAACCACTTAATCTGTGATAATCTCTTAATCTCTTTTAACCTGACTATGCTTATTGATACATTGGCGAACACCACTGCAGTCGTGACGTTGTATGTTTTGAACCCCTACAGCCACCATAGGTCCAGGCCTCTGCCACAACACTGAATTCCAGTGCCAAACGGACGGGTTCTGCATACCTGGCGCTTGGGAGTGTGACGGCCATCCAGACTGTGAGGACGGCTCTGATGAACACAACTCCTGCCCACCTGCCACCTGCAAGACCAACTACTTCCAATGTGCCAACAAGATGTGCATCCCTCCACAGTGGGTGTGCGATGGTGAAAATGACTGCCGGGACATGAGCGACGAACAGAACTGCCCCACCCCTCCTTTTAGTTGTCCGTCTGGACAGTGGTTGTGTCCCACTGACCAGGTGTGCATAGACCTGGACAAAGTATGCAACGGTCAGAAGGACTGCCCTAATGGAGCTGATGAGTCACCCATCTGCAGTGAGTATGATAACTGAGTAACATTGTGGTGGAATCATGAGTTAATCTATGTTGTTATGATGTCTCAGCAGCAGAACAACCATTTATTTGAGTAACACTCTACAGTTAGCTACGGTCAAACATTCATCTTTTTCATCATGGAGGATGACGGACCTCAGTGAAAGAACTGTTCTAGCAGGATAATAATATCTATATTGTGTACATACTGTGTACATAGAAATGTTTACCTGTGTCTGCGTTGGTGTTTGTCTTCTAATATTCCAGTATTGATATCAATACCACAGTATTCGGTGCATAACTTAATCACTTTCACTCAGCCATGTCCTGATCACATGACTGACGGCCAACATCTCTTTAAAATATAACATCCATTTTAGTTACTTTGTCCATTACCAGGGCAATATATATTTTATTTTTATTACTTTATTTAATCAAGGAATTGCATTACTAAATGGAGAAAAATGGTGAAAAAAAATGACATGAGGCTTTAACATTACTTGATACTTTGAGCTGTTAACAATATTTGAACATCATAGTATTTTGTTTGTCAACTTTTCTGTGTCTTAAGTATTTGCTAGTGAAGTATGTCAAAGTAAGAGAGAACCAAGCATTTCTTGCCTAGATACCGAGATAAGAGGTTCACTATAACCCGATTATTTTTAGAATACCAAAACTCTAAATCTTTCAACATTAAGCTGTCTCGCAATAAGATAAGAGGTTCACTATAACCCTATTATTTTTAGAATACCAAAACTCTTAATCTTTCAACATTAAGCTGTCTCGCAAGCAGTAGTATTACCATCTCCGTGTACTGTTGGCCTAAGAGTACAGCCTGTCCTGTATTTGTTCTCTCTTTTGTATAGACCAAGATGATTGTGCGCTGAACAATGGAGGGTGCAGTCATGGCTGCGTTCAAGGACCTTTTGGGGCTGAGTGCACCTGTCCGCCAGGATTTCAACTCAATAATACCAAGAACTGTGAAGACATAAACGAGTGTCTGATTCCTGGCTTTTGCAGCCAAGAGTGCTATAACGAGAGAGGGAGCTTTAGGTGCTACTGCTCACATGGATACCTCCTTGAACCCGATGGGCGCACCTGCAAAGCTACAGGTTAGCGCAAAATGTGGATACCTGAAGTTTAAAACTAAATATACTGTACATACAAGGGATAATTCAACTCTGAGTTTTAATATAAAAAATACTTTTTTTACTAGACACTATACAGGATTCTTGTATATGAAAGATTTTTCCAAGTAGTATTGCGAACAGCATTGCTAACAAAGAAACAAAAATGAGTTATCAGATATGTTTATGGTAAATATATATTTATATTTATATTATATATATTTATGTATATACCAATGTTCTTCCCTCAGATCAACAATCTGCTGTACTGCTGGTTTCAAAGCGTAGCCAGATCATCGCCAACTATATTAACAAGAAACCACCCCAGATGCGTCCGGTAACCAGCGGTTCAAGCATCGTCACTGTAGATTTTGACCGCGTGACATCCAAAATCTACTGGGCTGACGCATCACAGAAGAAGATATGGAGTGCAAACCAGAACGGCACTGATAAAGTCCAGGTAAAACAGATAGGGCAGAGTGAATGCACTAACGCACTATCTTGCAATTTGAACGTGGATAGTATTTAGTACGTGTGCCACATCTGTGTACTGTAGGTATTCTCCACTGGTCTGATGGCACCAGAGAGTATAGCCGTGGACTGGGTGGGTCGAAACCTTTACTGGACTGACTCTGTCATGGAGAACATTGAAGTGTCCACTCTTGATGGGCAGTTTCGTAAAATCTTACTATCAAAGAACGTAACCAGTCCACGTGGACTAGTTTTGGATCCTCGGAACTAGTAAGACATAAAGTTGATCTGTTTGTAAAATACTCTTTATTCAGTCATTATTGTATAAACAGCTATTTAAGCTGCCACTGTGTTAAATAGATTTTCATTTCTCCTAGCACCTACTTGATGTTCTGGTCAGACTGGGGTCAGAACCCAAGGATTGAGCGCTCCTTCATGGATGGATCTGGGAGACAAGTCATTGTTACCTCAAAGGTGTACTGGCCCAATGGCCTAGCCCTGGACTACACTACACGCAGGTTGTACTTCGCCGATGCCTACCTGAAATACATCGACTACTGTGATTATGATGGCAGAAACCGCCATCAGGTCCTGGCAAGTGATATGGTACGTTGGGTTTGCTCTAGATCAGTGGTACCACCAGTGGTACGCGAGCGCTCTCTAGTGGTACACGGTGAAAATACATATTTTCACATTTACATTTTCAGTTGAATAAATCATGCACAATGAATACAACATTTAAACATAAACAGTTATAAACATCTCTCCTGTGTGGTGGAAGCTAATAGGGAAGCCCTATGCTGCTATATTCTAGTGTTGGTCATTATGGTGTGACTCATCATGGGAGAGCTCAATGTTTTCTCAGGTGGTATAGAGTATAAAAAGTTTGAAAAACACTGTTCTAGCTCAAGAAAGTCAGAAAAGAGAATGTTTTGCGTATATTGTGCATACACCACACCACACAGAATTATGTGCTGGACCAGTTGGGGTGATAAGTAGCAGTAAGAGTGAAAATGTTAAAATAGAGAGGACAGCACTGAGCTTTTACTCGGCGCTTGACGCCATTAACAAACAACGTTGGAATATGAATTTCTGTAAGGCCTGTAGAGACGTTTGGAAACTTTTCCTAAGCTTATGTCAGTGACTTCTGTGTTTGTCCAAACAATAGTTTCTGCAGCACCCACACGGCATGACTATCTTTGAGGACAGCGTCTTCTGGTCTGAGCGCTACACCAGCAAGGTGATGAAGACAAACAAGTTTCATGGCGGAAACATCACCACACTGATGAGCAGCATCTACCAACCGATGGGCCTCGTGATGGACCATCCTATTAAACAACCTGCAGGTAACTATCAATTAAAGCATCAAATATATATATTGTTTTTTTTAATCACAATGTTACAAGCAATGTCATCTATGGACTTGTGAATCTTGTCACTGCAGAAACTAAAAATCAATCGTAGAGTGATATGTGCTAATGTTATATTTTTTACACAGCCATAAACCCCTGCAGAGAACACCTGTGCAGTCAGCTGTGCTTGTTGGCAGGCATTAGGCCCAGGTACTATACATGTCACTGTCAGTCTGGCTGGAAACTGGATACTGACAAACGCACTTGTATCAAAGGTTGGTCTTTTGTATGCAATTAGGGATTCTTAATTATAATTTAGTTTTATAAGTTTCTGACTGATAGATTCCCAAAATGTATGTACAGTATATTCAATCACATTTGCTATCAGACAAATAGATCTTCACTAGTGTCTCATTCAGTCATGTTCACATGTTTTACTTTCTAGACGACGCTCCCTTCCTGATGGTGGTTAGAGATACAGTGATCTTTGGAATTCCTCTTGACCCCAGCGACAGTACAAATAATGCAATGGCCCCCGTGTCTGGGATCAGCCAGGGTAGAGACATTGACTTCGATGACCAGGAGCAATTTGTCTATTGGGTTCAAAGCACAGTGAGTTGTATCCTTAATGTGAGAATTTTTTTGTGTGTCCCAATAGTGGTGGTTTTTGATAGAGCAGCTGAGCTTTTCACTGCACTCAGTAACAGCCGAACACACAGAAATTTTCCAATGAGAAGAATGATATTTTGTTCTGGTGGGCGTTTGTCTGAGTTGCATATGTGAAACCAAAGTACAGTGGAACCTCAGTTGTCGAATGGCTCCCTTTTTCGAACAAATCAGTTGTCAACCAAAATTTTGAATTAAAATTGCCCCGGTTGTCATACCCATACAACTCAGTTGCCAAACAAGCCAACAATACGCAAGCAGGAAGTGATCACTGAGTGTGTGTTTCTTCTATTTTTTGTTTCATAAATCACTATTTGAAAGACGGAAAGAAATGGGCCCAGGTACTGATTAATCTAATTAACATTGATACCGATGGGGGGAAATTGTTTGAGTTTTCGAACTTTTCGGTTCACAAACAGCCTTTAGGAACAAATTAGGTTTGAAAACCGAGATTCCACTGTATTTAAAACCCTGCAATTATTCTATAAACTTTCAATGGTATTAAACTTTTAACTTTAGTTCCCACTTGGTACTGATAAATACTTCTATTTTGTGCTAAAATCAGGGTTCTATATGGAGGGTGAAAACCTCTGGTACCAATCGCTCTGAGTTTGCACCATCTGCTTACCTGGGCACGCCCTCAGGCCTGGCCTTTGACTGGATAAGTCGGATAATGTACTACACCAATCCTACAGCTAAGACCATAGAGGTAAATACCTTCTTAAACAGCTTCTGGTCAGTGTGCGAGTAGATAAACAATATTGGATGATTTATCCAGGTTATTCGGGTTGACGGGAACCAGCACTACAGGAAGACCCTCATCGCTTCCAATGGAAAACCAGAGGGGGTGGGTCAACCCATGGGCATTGTTGTGGATCCAGCTCGAGGGTAAAGAAAAATCTTGTTTTGTTTAAATGTAATTGCCTGGCAAAACGTATTAAAAGACTTGAATGAAAAAGTATTTTTTAAGATAAAGAATTTTCTTATATCCACACTTATTTTTCACGTCTACAAAAACCAATTAAAAAAATGTATACAAAGGTGGTGAAGCCTTTTTGACTCATGGTTCATTAGATTTAAATATATATATATATTTCAACTTAATAGCCTTCAACAAGGTTGACAAATATTTGCATAAAAATAAACCATACAATAAAAGAGAATACACATCATACGAGTACACATTGGAATTATTTTATTTTGGGTTGCAACAGCTCTTTCTGTTGTTTTTAATCATCATTTTAAAAGCCAAGTAAGAGAACAACACTCAAGTTCTAATTTTCTTTCAACTTTATGGAAAATGTACTGGATGCTTTTTGTTTTGTCTTGTCTGCCCTGCTTCCACAGCATGGTAAAGTCACTGTTGAGACATTAAGAAGTACTTCACTTGAATTACTTTGAGTAACTAAAACCTCTTCACTTGCCTTTCCCCCCCTACAGAAAACTGTTTTGGACAGATAAGGGTGCAGACACTGGAGTTCCTCCAAAGGTGGGCAGTGCTGACATGGACGGTGGGAATGTCAGAAACCTATTCACGGGCAACCTGGCGAGCATTGGGTTCATTGCGGCTGACATCTCTGCCAGAAAACTGTACTGGGGTGTCTCAGGCTCCGGAGTGGTAAGTACCCTCAGGGACGGGATAAAAGGTGGTCAGTCGTCCTCTTTTACGCTGTATTTCTGTTTTAATCTTCACTTTTAATTGTGATTCTCTTTTACCTATGTTGATTTTCCCTGTATTATTATTTCCCTTAGATCGAAAGTGGCACAATGGATGGAGTAAGTCGAACTACTGTGGTCACTGGTCTGTCTCATCCATGGGGGCTGACCATCTACCAGAACCACCTCTACTACACAGACCTGGACTATGAGGTTATTGAGAGGGTGGACAAGGACACGGGTGCCAACATGGTGGTTATGAGAAGCAGCATGTCCGGTCTTCGTGCTCTAAAAGTACACGCCAGAGACAGTACGACAATTACCTCTTATGAATTCAGTATAAAGTGTTTTTTATATTAACTTTTATGTGCATTCATGCAGACATAAAATGCAACGTGTTGTTTTTAAACCAATATCAGTCACATTTTTTATCATGTTAAATACTGTGAACTAATAATAACCTGCAGTAAATATCTGAATACTGTAAAAACTAATAATAACCTGCAGTAAATATCTATCTACTGTATAATATCTACTCACTGACCACTCCCTCTTCCACCTCCAGACTCAGCTGGGACCACAAATGCATGCAGCTCCAACAATGGCGGCTGCCCTCACCTATGCCTGCCCAAACCTGATAATAATAAGACCTGCGCATGCACCACAGGCTTTTACCCATCTGGCGATGGCTCCCGTTGCGATCAGTATGAGTCCTTTGCCCTCGTCTCAACTCCAAAATACATCCGTGGTTTCCACATCAACAGCTCCGATCACTCAGAGGCCATAGTGCCTGTTGGTGGACGTATGTTGGCTTCATATTATATATTTTTTTTAAAAATGCTTTGTGCAACCACATTTTTAACAAGATACCAACTTCAATTTCTAGCATCCTACTCTGTGAAAGGCAAGCTCGACCTTCACATCGCATCGGGCTTTGTTTTCTGGACCGACAATTCTACCTCCACATCATATCGTGGCATCTTCAGAACTAAAACAGATGGTGGAGGTTTTGGCAGTGTCATCAATTCAGGTGTAGGAAGAAGAGGCATCCAGGGTTTTGCTGTAGACTGGATTGCAGGTTTGACATCTGAAGCATAATGAAAAAAAAAGTGTATTCCTTTACAAAGAAAACTCCTTGTTCCATTTTGTTATGTCCTACACAACCAAATGTTAATATCAAGGCACACATTTTCACTCTTTCAGGGAATTTATACTTCACCAATGCCTTTGAAAGCGAGACCTTCCTGGAGGTGTTAGCTATCAACACAACATACCGAAAGATTCTACTCAAGTCCACTCAGGACCAGCCTCGTGATTTGGCCGTCAGCCCCAAGCTGCGCTACCTCTTCTGGACTGATGGAGGCCAAACGCCCAAGATTGAGCGCGCTCTCCTGGATGGCACCAATCGCACAGTATTAGCGTCTGAGAGCATTGCTTCTCCTCGCGGCCTCACACTCGACTACACTAGTGATTTTCTGTACTGGACAGATGATGTCCTTGATATGATCTCCCGCATGCATGTAGACGGTACACAGAGGGAAATCATAAGGTATGGCAGTCGATATCCATCACCAACGGGACTGGCTATTTTTGGGAACCTCATGTTGTGGGTTGATCAGAAGCTCGGGAAGCTCTTCCAAGCCAGTAAAGACCCATCCAACACTGACCAGCCAGAGGTGAAGTAATTATTTATTCATCTTCTGCCATGTACTGTAATTCCTTTTTTTTTTAGGGTTGGAGGCAGGCTTTGCATTATGGGATAAAACTAGAGTACTCGGCAAAAAACCTACGTAAATATAGGACAAAGATACTGTAAACTATGGGTAATACTATCCTACAATAATTCTTGTCTAATGTTAAAAATGACTTCTAATTATTGACAATTCATCATAAGAACGTCAAGGTAAGTACTGATGCACTGATTTGATCTGACCTGAATGGCATATTTGATACATGTCAAGTAAGAATGTATTATTTCTCTGAGGTGAATAAATGGTAGCTGCTACAAATATATTAGTATAGTGTAGGGTGTAGGCAGTTGCCTAACGGTGCACTGTGTAACATTTAAGGCTTCAAAGGTTAGTTATTTAAGGTTGCGGACCTAAATGTTTGAATTGTGACATCACTATGTTTTCAAACCCTATCACAGAAAGAACTCAATGCTTAAGGCTAGCATATGTTTTCTTATACTCTTGCACAAAAATATTGAACCAATGCAACTACAACATGTGTTCACCACTAGGTGCTGCTAAATCTCACAATCTGTGCCTATATTGTGTTCCAACATGGGCCGTGTTTACTGTGACAGTCATTTGATAAAGCTTATGTTCAATCTAGTTCTGTGCCATTAAATGACGATTCTTAATCGATTCCAGGTGATTCGGGACAGTCTTGATGGTCTTATGGATGTTACCATCTTCGACCCACACGTCCAGCCCACATCTGCCAATCAGGTGGACTTCAATCCATGTCAGGAAAATAACGGACGCTGCCAACAGCTCTGTTTTGCCATCCCAGGCGAGGCAAAACCAAAATGTGCTTGCGCACACGGGTCTCTCCTTAATAATGGAGTGACGTGTGGTTACGGACTAGATGAGTACCTAGTATTCACCACAGACTACACACTGAGCAGCCTGAGGCTAGACCCTGCAGATCACAGCACTCCCTTCCCTGCAGTGAATTTAGGATACAACACAGTCGGACTGGACTTTGACTCGAAGGGCAAAAGGATTTTTTTCACGCAGTACATGGGGATTGGTCGAAGCAAAATTGGATCCATCATTGCAACAGCTACCTCAAGCCCTCCTGTCAATATAGTCACAAGTAAGTCAGGTTATATTTTAAAGTGATGATCAAGATTCAAAAAATAGTTACATCGAAAGCAACTGGACAAAGTAGTTTTTTTTTTTAGACGCTTCGCGTCTCATCCAAGAGGCTTCTTCAGTTCTGACCGAACTCTACCTATAATGTCGTCCTGAGTTCTCTCCCCCCATTCACACCTCTAACCATGTGACTTTACATTCCGCCCTCCTTTGAATAGGGTCTGTTTCACCACACCTCCACCCCCCCTTTTTTGCAACGACCCTCGTTACAGTTATGTAGCCCCCTGAAGGCTTAATACCAGAATTTCCCAGATGTCAGTTAGAACTGAAGAGGCCTCTTGGATGAGAGGTCGAACGTCTTAAAAAAAAAAAAGAATGAATAACGTTGTCTTTCCAAAACTGCCTTATAATCTTTGTTAAAAAAAAACATTGTTTTAACACACAGATTTAGACGATCCAGAAGGACCGGCATACGACTGGGTCAACGATCGTCTCTACTTCACCGACTATTACAGACGGAATGTTCAGTCCATTGGGCTCAATGGGTTAAACCGTTCCATCGTCGCACACGGAAACCGCCCCAGAGGAATTGTTGTCGACCCTTGCTATGGGTAGATGAACAATTTTAATAAGATTTCTACAAATTAAAAAATTATTATACTTGTTTCTTATATATTTCTTATTGAACCCTCATGATTTTTGAAAGCAGTGCTACAACTATGTTAGCAAGTGTCAACCTTTAGAATGAATTTTCTCATCTTTATTCACTATTCTAGATATACTAGACCTAAACGAACACAATTGAATTATTTAAGATGTAATTTTTTCAATTTACGTATTTTAACAGATGGTATACATTTTGAATGCAAAAGCAGGCACAATGGCAATATAAAGGGGGAAATCTAAATCCTTGCATTCTCTCATCCAATCAAGTTACCTGTACTGGACAGACTGGGGTAGTCCAGCTAAGATTGAGAGGGCCACACTGGGTGGAAACTTCCGGACTGCCATCATCAACAGCAGCCTGTCAACACCCAACGCCCTGGCTCTGGATTATGAGGAGAGGATGCTTTATTGGGCCGATGCGTCATTGTATGTTCTGTCTTTTATCATTACACTTCAAAATACTGCCCACAAACGTTGTGAACCGATCTTCACTCTAACTCTTCCCACAGAGACAAAATAGAACGATCTTCTCTCACTGGCGAGAACCGACAGGTGATCATACATGGCGTTATGTACCCTTTTGCCATGACGGTCTTCCAGCAGGATATTTTCTGGACGGACTGGACCGAGAGAGGTGTATTCAGGGCTGGGAAGGATGATGGCTCTGGCTTTGCGGTGTTGGCCCAGGATATGCAGTACAGGCCAAACGTCATCCATGTTTATTCTGCTTCCAAGCAGGAGAGCTGCTCCAGCTTCTGTCAGCAGTTCAACGGCGGTTGCAGTCATGTTTGTGTATCTGGTAAGAAAAGTCGATGGGTGAAAGGGATGGCAGTGACAGGCCCGGTGTGTAACTGTAACTAAGTTTAAAGTTATCACCCAGAACTTCACCATAAGGTTTAGTAGTAGACGACAAGTCAGGAAAAGGTCCAGTTTGTCTATTTCTGAAGCAAACTACTGAAAATGATGAATGAAATTGTTCGTAAAAAAATCATAATAGTGTCTGGAGTCTTTTAGTTACTAGTCACTTGACATCATAATAGAGTCTTTTAGTTACTAGTCACTTGACAAATATTCTTTAGTGAAAATTCTGTTAAAAATTCACAAATGATATTAAGCTGCTATCGGTCATATTAGTGTTTGGGTGGTCTTGCTCCCTCCTCATCTCACGGCAGCATCGTACTAAAAGAGAGGTTTAAGAACCTTTTATTCTTTAATATTAGGAGAGGAAAAGACCACCTTCTTGTTAGCAATGCTTCCTAAACTCTAGAATTTATCCTAACAAAAATACATTTCTTTAAATTGTGTAGAATTCTAGTGTCACAAAACTGGATAACTATAAGCTCAATAAGCAGTATTTGTTTGATTGACACCAAACTCAAATACGTAGATTATTCATCTTGGTTGCCATTGAAGGGAAAAAATGAAAAAGAAGGAAAATATTTAAAAAGGCTTTAACTTACATCATCCTAATCTGCAGGTCCAGTTGGCCCAGAGTGCCAGTGTCCTCATGAAGGCAAGTGGTACCTGGCCAATAACGGCAAAGACTGCATTCAAGACACAGGGAAGCGCTGCCAGTCTAACCAGTTTACTTGCCTCAATGGAAACTGCGTCCCAGCAAACTGGAAGTGTGACGGCTATAACGATTGCCATGATAACTCTGATGAGCTGGAAGGAGTGTGTGGTGAGGAATCGAGGTTTTGATTAGTTGGTGATTGACGTAGATTGTACATTAAGTCTAAACATCTCGTTTCCCCCGTACAGCCTTCCACACCTGTTCATCCACTTCCTTCACTTGTGACAACGGCCGCTGCGTGCCTCTCAGCTACACATGTGACTACACAGATGACTGTGGAGACAACAGCGATGAGCGTGGTTGCCCTTTTCCGACCTGCAACCCTGCCACTGAGTTCACCTGCCTTAACGGACGCTGCATCAGCGCAGACTTCGTGTGCAATGGCTACAACGACTGCCGAGACAATGCAACCTCTGATGAAATCAATTGTCGTGAGTAGGCGATTTGGTATTTACCTCACTTGATGAAAGAAAAAATTTTTTTTATAATAGTAGTATTTTCTTATAATGGCTATTAGTTTAGTAGTCTGGAGAATACAAAACAATAGTTTTGGTGAGGTTGCTGGGAAAAAGTACCTTGGTAAAAAAAAATAGCATTGCATTGAATGAAACTTATTACAGGCAATTTCTGTTTGACTTTGTTACCCATTAAAAGGCCTTTTTTATCACAGTTTTTATACTGTAGGGAGGGCCAAAGGTCATTTGTTGGTTGGTCAAATACTTGTTATAAATAAAACATCAATGTATTTATCTTTTTCTTTACTTGTTTCAGCTGACAGAACGTGTCCTTCAGGCCAGGTAAAATGTGACAACACGAACATCTGCATCTACCCTGACAACCTATGTGATGGCTACAACAACTGTGGAGATAACAGTGATGAGAACCCTTTGTTCTGTGGTGAGTCCAATTTCATCAATCAGTTGTTGATTTGTGTAACAAGTACAAAAGAAGCTGGGAAATGCTTTAAACCTATGACCCTTTTTTTTTTTTTTTTTTAATTTAACAGTCGGCCGCACATGTTCTCCAGACAAGTTTCGCTGCGATGGGGGAAAATGTATCCCTGCGTCCTGGGTGTGTGACTCATTTGATGATTGTGAAGATGGGACGGATGAACCCAGCTCTTGTGGTGAGAACTTTTTTGAGCTACTGTGAAGTACCACTGGAACCCTGCTGGACTCACAGGGATTTTAAAAAACCCACAGAATCTATCTACTGCAGTGGTGCCTCAGTGGTTAAGGAAGCAGACTAATATTGTTTTGCATGTTGACAGAGGACCAAATCAGGACATGCAGTACCAGCCAGTTTACATGCACTAATGGGAACTGCATCCCCAAGTCCCTGATTTGTGACGGCAACAATGACTGTTGGGACAACAGTGACGAGGCTCCTGAACTTCAGTGTGGTAAATATATATTTGTATATTACATTTAATGTAACCTAGTATAAACAGTTAACCAGAGTTGTAGCTGGCACCCTGCTGACAGTTCCTTATGGACATGGACATTTGGTAAGATGGTCATAAAAATGACCAGGTTTGGAGTGTTGGTGTGATGGCTAGTTTGTGACCACTGTACATGTGCTCCTGCGTTGGACCAGAGATCTGGTCACGGTGTATCTGACCTGTTGACCTGATGATTGGTACCACAAACATGCAGAGGATTTGGTGATAGAAGTTTACAGTATTAAGATTTATATAGAGTTTGTTTCTGCCACTCCCTTAACCCATTGCCTTTGTCTCTTTTTGTACGTTTTATTGGTAGCCTGCATTTTGCATTACAATACCTACCTACTAAGTTCTAATCTTCACTGGTCTTTTTTTCTCTGGTCTTTTTTTCTCTGGAAATATAGGACAACATACCTGCAGTACAAGCCAGTTCACTTGCCCAACCTGGTATCCTGGCCATCCACGATGTGTGCCCTTAAACTTAGTGTGTGATGGTGAAAGAGACTGTGCCGATGCAGCAGATGAGCTCCAGAACTGCCCAAATCGGACCTGTCGTATGGATGAGTTTGCCTGCTCCAATGGACTTTGCATCCTTGTTCCCTTCCAGTAAGTGTAAATTGTGTTCAAGGTATTATTGTATCTGTAGAAAATATACCTTTCCTAGTGAAGAGAATGTATTATTTCTTACCAGAAATTAATTCGCACTGCATAATAATTTTTTTTTTTTTTTTCAAACTTCAGCTGTGACCGTGTGAACGACTGTGGCGACGGTAGCGATGAGTTGGGCTGTACCTATGAAACCTGCAGCGCTAACCAGTTTACCTGCGGCAATGGTGCTTGCATCTCTGCGTCTTTTACCTGTGATGGCCAGAACGATTGCATGGACGGTTCAGATGAGGCAGAGAGTCTGTGCACCACACCGCAGCCCACGTGTGCTCCCAACCATTACATGTGCACATCAGGCCAGTGCATTGACACCAACAAGGTGTGCAATGGACAGAAGGACTGTGACGATAACAGTGATGAAAAGGGCTGTGGTAAGTTGAGAATGACATATTTAAAGTAAATGCTTATTCAGTTCAATTACTAGAGCCATAGAATTACTGTATGAACAGAGAGATTTTTTTTTTAGCAATATTATTTTAGTAATTTTTTTAAGCTAAAATTAACATTTCTAATGTATGTCAACATTAGGTATTTACTATAGGGTCTTGTGTTGAGCCTTTTGACCACATGGTGGCAGTAAGGTATCAGTCAGTTCTTTAACAAGCGCCAATATACAGAGAAGAAGACTGTCTTCTACGCTAGCAAAAGGACTACATTTTTGCATGGGTACAAACCCAACAATATTACACCACTTTTTACTTGGGCTTCGAAATGGTCAAACCGGATGAGAACCTAATCTATCCTATAACATTTTTTAAAAAATGTTCTTAACTTTAATAAAATCACTTTTTATCCTGTGTGTGCTTTAAAAATGTTTTACCTCCATTTCTCTTTTTTTCCGTAGGAATAAATGAATGTAGAAACCCGTCGGTCCATAAGTGCGCCCAGATCTGCACAGACACCCTCACCAGTTACTTCTGCTCATGCAACCCCGGATATCGGCTAATGCCAGACGGCAAAGCGTGCGAGGATATCAACGAGTGTATCAGCACTCCTGCTGTCTGCAGCCAGATCTGTGACAATACTGTTGGCTCCTACATATGCAAATGTGCTCCAGGGTACATCAGAGAAGCCGACGGGCGCACGTGTCGCCAGAACAGCGGCATTGCACCCTATCTGCTATATAGCAACCGCTACTACATCCGCAACTTGACCACTGATGGTTCAGTTCTGAGTATTGTCCTGCAGGGTCTGTCTAATGTTGTTGGTTTAGATTTTGACTCTTATGATAAGAGGCTGTACTGGCTGGACGCAGGAGCGGGAAAAATTGAGAGGATGCGTTTTGAAGGAACTGAGAGGGAGACGGTGGCTGATGAAAAATTGCTAGGAGCCGAAGGCCTGGCACTGGATTGGGTGGGAAGGTGTGTTAAGTGAATGTCAGTTAGCGTAAGCTGATCTGTCTGTATCTGGAGCTACTGTAAGTCTAGCTCTTTCAGTGTTGAAGAATAGTTGTTGTGTGTCTTGCAGGAAGTTGTACTGGGTGGACGGATACTATAGCTCAGTGCACGTGATGGAACTGGATGGGCGATACCAGAAGAAGCTTTTAACTGGACAGTTCACAGATGGAAATAAAACCTACACTGTCAGCCGACCGTGTGCTGTAGCTGTCAACCCTAAATATGGGTAATAGTAAAATGTACTCTGAAACACAAGTCTTCTTGTTAAACAGCTCCAACCCTGCCTATGCATTGTGTCAACGGGAATGCCCTGCAACTGGCTCATGCCTTGTACCCTATTAACATGGAGTCGGCGGCGATGTTAGTAACTCGCCAGCGCCCACTAGTGCTTTGGTTCATTAACTTTGCAAACAATGACAGACCATATCGTGAGCTGCATTTGGAATTTTCAGCCATTAAAGTTAGTTTGAACCTCATCACCATTAATCATATCTAATTACTATCTACGATACTGCCACCAGCATTATATCTACGATATACAGTATCGTAGATAGTAATTAGATGTGACTAAAGACTTTACTGAAGTTTTGAAAGACGCTCTTGACCGATTTTTCAAGCCACCATTAAGATGCACATTAATTACTAACCTATAAACTATCAAAATATTAATATATTTTTGGTGGGGTTGGAACGCATATAATGGTTAAAACGCAATAATGGTTATTCCACAACTATCCCTAATTCACTATATCCCTTTATTCTATATTTAGTTCTTACAATGTTTCATTTCTTGTGTCATTCTCATTGCTCTTTTTTGCAGCTGGTTGTACTGGACAGACTGGGCTGATAACGCATATATTGGCAGAGCTGGCATGGATGGAAGCAATGTTAGCGCTATCATCACAACCAAGTTAGAGTGGCCAAGTGCTCTGACTATAGACTACGCCACGAACAAGATCTTCTTTGCTGACGCTCACCTAAACTTTCTGGAGTAAGTTCAGACAAACATTTTACTCTGATGTTTTGAAGGCTTCATATGTGTTATGGTAATCTTCTACAAATCTTCTACAAATCTCAGCTTCGCAGACATGGACGGTCAGAACCGACACCGGGCCATTTCTGGGACTCTGCCTCATGTCTTTGCTGTGTCCCTGTTTGAGGACTGGGTCTTCTGGACTGACTGGAATACACACACAGTAGAGAAAGCCCATAAGTACACCGGCGAGCAGCGCACTATTATGGGGAACAACACACATCGCCCTTATGACATTCGTGTGACCCACCCCTACAGACAACCTCGAAGTTCGTGGATATCCAACTCTAAGTTTACACATATGGTACAGGGCTTAATGTAATGGTTATTATGGATTTACATCTAAATATTTCCACAGGTGACAATCCTTGCTCCTCCCACCACCTCACCTGCAGTCACCTGTGTCTAATCGCACCCGGTGGTCAGTCAGCTACCTGCAGCTGCCCTGATCACTTCATCGGCCTCTCTGTAGGCTTTAAGATTCAGTGCGTCGCTGATTGCTCCAGCACTCAGTTTCGCTGTGCAGACAATGAAAGGTAAATATGGCGGATTTATTTACAAAATAATTATATACCTTAGGATTTTTATTTTAAATTGTATTTTAGTAGACCCCTTTCTTTTACTTGGTATAAATATGAGAGCTTTTTAAAAATGTTCCTTTACGTAAGGTCTTTGGCCACACCAACCAAAATATTTGTACAGGGTCTTTCTGATTCATCATAGCATAAGACAACCTACAAAGTAATATAAAGTGGCCACACCAACCAAAATATTTGTACATTGTAGAAACTTTTTGTCGGTTACTAATTCCCAGCCATTTGCTTTCATCTGGCACATTCAGTATATTGATTATTTATTTAATCCAAATTTCCAAGAGAAATCAGCTATTTAATAATCTGCACAATAAGGAAACAAAACCCATTTAGCAGTTTGTGCTTGTTTTTCTTTTTAGATGTGTCCCCATATGGTGGAAGTGTGATGGACAGTCAGATTGTGGTGATGGGTCAGATGAACCTCAGACCTGTCCTGAGCGCAGTTGCCCCATTGGACAGTTCCAGTGTCAGGATAAAAACTGTACTCACCCTGGGTTTCTCTGCGATGGCCATGCAGACTGCCCTGACAACTCAGATGAGGACGCTGCTCTCTGCAGTAAAACTTTTTTGTTTCTTTTAGTGACATCTACCAGATGAGAGGTTATTCTTGTTGAAGATTTTTATGCTGTTTTTTTTTTTTTTGGTGACGGTTTTTAGGCGACCACAGGTGTCTGGAAAACCAGTTCCAATGTAAAAACAAGATGTGCATCCCTATTTCGTGGCACTGTGATGGTATGAAAGATTGTTCAGATGGCAGCGATGAAGATCCAGAGACTTGTGCCCAGAAAACTTGTGCACCGGGACAGTTCCAGTGTGCTAATGGACTCTGCTTACCATCAAGCTACGTGTGTGATGCTCAGGATGACTGTGGAGACGGATCTGATGAACCATATCAGACCTGCAGTGAGTAGTAAACAAGTCGTGTACCGTGAAGTAGAACACATTCAGGAGTGCATTCTGGGGGTTTTGTTAGTAGATTGTGCCTTTATGTTGTCCTGCACCGTATCAACCGCTTATCCGGGGCTGGGTCGTGGGGGCAACAGTCTGAGCAGGGACACCCAGACTTCCCTCTCCCTCGACACTTCCTCCAGCTCTTCTGGGGGGACCCCAAGGCGTTCCCAGGCCAGCCGAGCGACGTAGTCGCTCCAGCGTGTCCTAGGTCTTCCCCTAGGTCTCCTCCCCCAGGGACAGGACCCACAAATCCCCAAGCCACCTCAGCTGCCTCCTCCCGATGTGGAGGAGCAGCGGCTCTACTTCGAGCTCCTCCCGTGTGACAGAGCTCCTCACCCTGTCTCTAAGGGAGCGCTCTGCCACCCTGCGGAGAAAGCTCATTTCAGCCGCTTGTATCCGGGATCTCGTTCTTTCGGTCATGACCCAAAGCTCATGACCATAGGTGAGGGTAGGAACGTAGATCGACCGGAAAATCGAGAGCTTCGCCTTTCGGCTCAGCTCCTTCTTCACCACAACGGACCGATACAGCGACCGCATTACTGCGGCCACTGCACCGATCCGCCTGTCAATCTCAACATAGAATTTGTCATTTTATTGTTCTAATGAAGGTGAAATGTGTTCATGCTTTATTATTGAGCAGATTTAAAAAGCCCAGTCTGTGTTTTACCTACGGGAATTTGATTTTTGTATTCTTTGAACAGTTTCGATCAGTCATTTAATCTTTTCATATCCACACCCTGTTTTTCATCCAGTGGGTCCAGACTACAAGTGTGATCCAGACACTGAGTTCCCCTGCAAGACTAACTACCGCTGCGTTCCTCAGTGGGCCCGCTGTGACGGCACTAACGACTGCCTTGACAACAGTGATGAACAAGGCTGCGGTTAGTGCTCGTGTGTCGTGTAAATTGTGGATTATTGGTGGACGTAGCTGAAAACAAACAGCGTAACAGAAACCACACACTTTTTTCCAGGTTGTTACCCTTTTTTTTAATTTTTCTTTTCAGAGGAAGTGACTTGTGATGCTCTAGGAGATTTCAGATGTGATAACCACCGCTGTGTCCCCATCCGCTGGCAGTGTGATGGACGTGATGACTGTGGCGACGGCTCAGATGAAAGAAACTGCCGTATATATTTGACATGTTTCTCTATTTAATAGTTCTTAAAAAATGCCATTCTCATTACTATCAAAATAAAAATATATATTATATTATATTAAAATCTAGTGAAAACAGAAATTTATCCATGTGACTGTGCTACGCAGAACCCCGGCCCTGCTCTGAGAGTGAGTACCGTTGTGACAATCAGCAGTGCATCCCAGGAAATTGGGTGTGTAACCATGACAACGACTGTGGGGACAACTCGGATGAACGAGACTGTGGTACATAGAACTGAACTGAATTGTTGATTATGAAAATGTTTGTCACTTGTGTTAAGAATGGGGGGAAAAAAGATCAAATATCTGAAGAATCCGAAGTTCAAATAAATCTTAAAAACATCATTAAACAGCAAAATTAAAAAAATGTATATCTTTTCAGGGTAGGACTGAATAGTTATATTTAATAATAACTACAATTATTAATAAATAGTTATTAATGTGGATTATATTAATATGGATCTGATTAGATAAGTAGACACATTAGGTTAGAAGTGAATAGCCATGAAAAAAATATTAAGCGTTTTTTGCTACATTTCTGGTTCATTTACTAACTAACTTAATTACATTTTTCTTTTCTGCTCCCCCGTTTTAGAGTTGTATACATGTCGTCCAGGGCGATTCCAGTGTGACTCGGGCCACTGTATCCCTTCTGCTCTGCAATGTGATGGCCGGGCCGACTGTCTGGACCTGTCAGACGAGACCAGCTGTCGTGAGTAACTTGTAAAATAACTTTAAGCTGTAGAGCAGCCAAGGATATATATATCTAACATCGGAATGTTTTTAGTGAACCAGGAAGGAAAAATGAACCATAATTCGAGTGTAACAACATTCTCATCCTTTGTAACTGTCCCTGAAGAAAACATAGTTTTAATTTGGCTGCTGTAGAACATCAAAAAGTGACAGTTTAAAAAGCAACACATAATCACATTTTCTTCATCCAAAACAGCTACTCGTTACCCAGGAGGCCGTTGGTGCCCTTTGAGCCAGTTCCAGTGTGACAACCATCTGTGTGTGAACCAGGGCTGGGTGTGTGATGGTGAAGATGACTGCGGAGACCGCTCTGATGAACAGCTCAGTCTATGCCGTGAGAGTTGTTTTGTTTGGCCTTTTGGTCGGGTTTAGATGTTCTATTCAAAAACATTCGATGCGTTGAAACTTGAAATGTTGAAATGTTTTTCTTTCACCAGTGAACATCAGCTGTGAGTTGCCGTCCAAGTTCCGCTGTGCCAACGGGTACTGTATTTACTCTGGCCGTATGTGCAACCAGAAGGATGACTGTGGAGATGGCAGTGACGAGACTGAGGAGCTTTGTATGACAATGTTTCATCCCACTTTTAATCCACCGGCTTGTAAAAGCATTTAATTACTTTGATAACGGAAGTCCTCTTCTAAACGTGTCCCCATCAGGCCGTGAACCGACCAAGCGTCCGTGCACGGTGGAGGAGTTTAAATGCACCAACGGTAACTGTGTGGCACTGCCATACGTCTGTGACCACAATGACAACTGTGGAGACCTCACTGATGAGTTAGGCTGCAGTAAGTTACACAACAACCGTTCTCTCACTGGTATTAATACTCTGAGATTTACCAGTTATCAATCAAGTATTTAATTATTATTATTATTATTATATTTTTAATTATTGATTATTATTGTTTTGCTGTATTATTGTTCTTGTTTTTTAATTGGCGCATACTCGTTCTAGATTTCGGAAGTGATCGCCACTGTGAAGAGAAGCTGTGTCAGCACGAATGCACCAACCTGAATGGCACTGGTTTTATCTGCTCCTGCAGGAAGGGATACAAAGTGGACCCAGTGAACACCTACACCTGCTTAGGTACTGTGCGGACACTCTTGGCCCAGTTAAAAATAAATAAATAACCGGTAAAAATAAAATAAATAACCGGTATCTGAGGAAGATTTTCTTTGTCTCTCACACAGACATTAATGAGTGTGAGGAGTATGGCACTTGTCCACAGGCCTGTAAAAACACCAAAGGTGGCTACGACTGCGAGTGTGCACCCGGATACAGGAAAGTGGGGAACGGCAACGAATGCGAGGCTGAAGGTTAGGAACAGGTTTCCATTGTAGATAGATGGAGAGTGTAAATTCACTGGAATGATCATTTTCTCATTTCATTTTCTCTTCTTTAAACAATTGGACACCCAGAAAACCGATAACGATTCCTATTGATATTACAAAATATGCTAACATCGGGATGTCCAATTATATTGGCTGACCAATATTATCGGACATCCCTACGTTTAATGACAGACATACATTTTAATGTAGTGAAAATAATATTTTTTTATGTCTGTCCCATTCCAGGAGCAGCTCCCCTGCTGCTTCTGCCTGAGAACATTCGCATTCGAAGGTTCAACCTACAGACGGAGGCCTACCATGACTTCCTCCGAGAAGAAGACCGAATCGTTGCTTTGGACTACGACTGGGACCATAACAACACTGGATACAGTAAAAAAAAATCTTTTACACAAGATTTGAATAAATTACAGTGAAACCTCGAGATACGAGCGTAATCCGTTCCAGGACCGAGCTCGTAAATCTGAAATCATTTTCTCCCATAAGATATAACAGAAAGAAAATGAATTCATTCCGGCCCTCTAAAAACTCACTTATTAGTGTTAATAACTAAAGTATATAAGGATTTATGTGATATAAAATAAAATGTGGTTTTAAATATGAGTTCTTACCTTCGAGACAGACGATACAGAAGCGGCTAATGGCGGCATGTGTGGAGGAGGAGGGAGGGAAGAGAGTTGGCCCGTACGTAGACACTTGATTTCGTAGCGTACTTTACACGTAGAATTAACTTAACTTTAACGTTTTTTTTTTTTTTTACTTTTCTATTCCTTTTTTTTTCCAATTTGTACTCTTTCTTTAGCGAGGCACCACACTTTATTTCCATGGTCATCATGCATGCTCGTACCTCAAATCTTTATCTTTATAAATGTGCTGGGAGGCTTGCTCGTATCTCGGAATACTCGTATGTCGGGACTCTCGTATCTCGAGGTTCCACTGTATTACAGTACACAACGTCAGCTCCATGTGAATGTTGAATGTTCTTGACAACGTCTTTGTACTTCCAAAGGTATGGTGTACTTCACTGTGGCTAGTAAGGACTCCGCTCCTGGAGCCATTAAGAGAGCATACATACCTTCAGTGGACAGTGGCAGTAACAACATTGGTGCAGCTGTGGATCTCGGCATCAAATATATCACCAAACCGGGCGGCATCGCAGTGGACTGGGTGGGCGGGTGAGTTTGTGCTTTTCCACAGAGGATCTGTTTCCCAGAGTGCCTTGTGTTTTAAAATCAGGAGATTCGTCAGAAGAGCGGAAGAAGCAGAAATTCAAGCAAAAAAAAGCAAAAATCTCTGTTAGGTTTTAATGTTGATATCAACTTCACCAACGAGTCACTGCCCTCTTCTGGTCAGTGGTAACATGACATGAATTGTAATTGGGGTTGGGAGTTGTTACTTCGGGAGAGTAATCTATACTCAGTCGAGAGTCGTGTGAGTATCAATATATTGATATCATGGAGATGGAGCTAATCTAGAAACCTCTTTTAGAAACCTCTATTGGGCAGATTCCCAGTTAAAGAGGCTGGAGGTGGCATTGTTGGATGGGCGTTACAGGAAGCACCTGGTCAAAACCGAGCTGGGTCATCCATCTGCTGTGGCAGTCAACCCAAGACTGGGGTAAGGCCAACACTTGACTTTCACTTTATTATAAAGGTTTTATGTGTCTAAGCTCAGTACGCATCTACTGTTTGTGAAAAAAAAACAAAAAAAAAACATTACTTTATAAACTAAATATAATTTGTAATTTCAACCACAACAGTTACTGTCATATGCTCGAGGATTTACCTAGAACCAGACTTTATTTATGCAAATGAGCCAACACATTTCCAGTGTTTGAGACACTTTCAGTAATTTCAATGAAAATTGAAAAAACAAAAAGTAGACATTTTTCTCCACAGATGCTCTATCTGCCTGCACGATAACATTCAGAAGTAAAATTATGTTGGATGTGAACTTTAGGTTGTTCAGTGTTATCCATGAAAACAGAAAATAGAACTAAAAAAGTTCTAAAAAAAAAAATCTAATCTAAAAAGAATATTTAAAACTATGAGGAGTTAGAGGTCAAGACAGCGGTGAAATAAACAACGTTCTGTCGTTCGTCAGGATGTTGTACTGGGCCGACCGAGGTGAAGCAGCCAAAATTGAGTGTTCCTGGCTGGACGGTCAGGAGAGGAAGGTTCTTGTGGGAGACGGCCTTGGCTGGCCCACTGGCCTGTCAGTGGACTTCACGAATGGCGACAGAATCTACTGGTCTGACTCGAAGGAAAGCCGCATCGAGTCTGTTCTGCCCTCGGGAGAAGATCGCCGAATTGTTGTCTACATTGGTGAGGATAAGAGAACTAGTATGCATCCCAAAACCTGATGACAAAACAAAATTACGATGGTATGAGGCCTGGTGTCTACGTACTTTAAATTTGTTTCATTAATGGTAAAAAAAAACATTTTGCAGATGTGAGAAACCCCTTCAGCGTGAGTGTGTTTGAGGACCACGTTTATTGGAGCACTGAGGAGAAAGGCGAGGTGTTCCGACAGGACAAATTTGGTAGCGGAGCCAAGACGAAGCTGCTGACCGCTGGGCCCTGGCTTACCCAGGTCTCTGTGTACCAGGAGCAGAGATACAACTCTATAGGCAGTAAGCTACAGATCTGCACCTTCTCAGTTTAGAACATATAAACAAAGACTTTTTTTTAAACTAGTTTCAACGTTTCTCGTCTCCTCAGTGAAGAACCCCTGTAAAGGAACCTGCAGCCACTTGTGTTTACTCCGCCCAAATGGTTACACGTGTGCCTGTCCTGAGGGCATCAACTTTGTCCCTGGCAGTAGCACAGAATGTGATGCTGGTAAGTTAACAGGCAACTCTTCATTTTCTTAGAAGAAACATTGATGTTTTTGTGACAAGATATGCAGTAATTACTCAAATCCACCAACTCTGAGGCTAATACGTTGAGTTATAATTTCACATGGATTATTCAAACATTTTTACCTAATAATAATAATAATAATATTTCTATAATTTAGAATAGGTTTGAAACACATACATCCACTTGCTGTTATTTGTCTCTCTGTTCTGGCACAAAGAGAAGATAAATGTTTTTGTCATATTTAGGAATGATGATCGATCTGGATTTATGATTAATCACGATTAATCAGATGAAGAAAAATGTACTTCTAGTTTAGTTGGTAGGTACTCAGATAAAAACAATAGGCTAGGCTAAAAAATCCAAGTTGCTATAAGAGATATTAAGGACACGTGGAGGCATGCTGTGAGACAGCAGAGACACTACGAGCCAACATGGACGCACGGTGAGACGACTCTGCTCATCAACAACAACACTCTACACTCATTTCCTCCCATTTTGAATCTCAGGGTTCATTCCACCACCAACTATGCCACCACCTTGTCAGTGTCTGAACGGGGGCACCTGCTACTTTGATGACAACAAAGCCCTCTGCAAGTAAGACTTTTTAATCCTGCAGTGAAAAAGTAATAATAAAAAGACACAAGGTCGTCTTAACAGTTTGGTGTTTCGATGTCCTGACACATGTCTTTTGGATCCTAGATGTCCTCCTGAGTGGAAAGGAGAATACTGCCAGACAGACGTATTCACTGCGGTTGCATCTTCAGGTAGCTTTGATGTTCTGACCAAAAAGTCACTCCGAGATCATTGTTTGTTTGTTTTTTTTATTTAGAAGTGTTATTCTGTGGGTTTCAGTTGCAATAGCCATCGGTGTGACGGTTTTCATTGTGGCTCTCCTGGTGGCTCTCGTCTACGCTTCCAGAAAGAAATCCAACCTGTTAGCCACACTGCGAAACAGCTTACCCCCCATGCCCAAAATGCCCAGTATGCCCTCCATGCCTACGATGGCCAGCTTCAGGTGAGATGACGACAAACCGGAAAAGACACAAGTCTGACAGCTACAGAACAACACCACAATGCAGTCGACTGAAAGGTTTCAGCTTTTACAGCGTGATGTCACTCATCATTACCCAGTGGACAGTAATAATTACAGAAGCCCATTTCCACCACTTAGGAAAAAAAATAGATTCTTAAGTCAAACAAATGAGATACTAAGTCATAATTATGAGATAGTATGTAATAATAACAAGAAAGAATCTCCTTATGAGATACTATCCCGTTATTATGAGTTAGTACATTCATGGGCAAACTAAGGCCCGGGGGCCGGATGTGGCCCGTTCAGCTTTTTAAACTGGCCAAACTTTTCCAAATTATATTATTTATTTAAATATTTATATAAATAAATTATGACATGATACATTATACATATTATACTACTGCCTTTTCCCTGCAATACCCACGTTTTCCCATTTGATGGCGTTGAAAATGCTAAACGCATTTTAGCCTTTATGCATGACTTTTACATGTCATTTATCTTAGTTCACACCAACGCTCCATCTATCTGCTCCTGACCCGGCCCCTCTGTTCAATTTTAGGACCCAATGTGGCCCGCCAGTCAAAAAGTTTGTCCACACCTGAGTTATTTTTTTGACTTATCAAGTGACGAAAATGGGCTTCCATTAATAATTCTATCTTTTTTATTCAAGAATTTCTGTAATGTAAAATGCATTTTTTTTCTGTCTAAGATGATAGGCTTTGCATGTTGTTGCTATTGTTGTGCAAATAACAAAGTCCAACAAGCTGTTGTGCCGCCCGCTAATACACCGTTAACATGTTGATGGTATTTCAGAAATGGCACAACACCAACAACCAACGGTGAAACAGGATCTAACTCAGAACCGGCAAGTATCTCCGACCGCGCCATTTAAATAGAACCTGTGTCGTCACTGATTGACAAACTGGACCTTATGTGTATATTATCCTATTGTTGTCAAACGTTAGGTGTCCTCCATGTTTGTGTCCATGACGGATCCTCAAGAGGATAATCATTTTGAGAATCCAGGATATGATGCTGGAGAAAGGCTTCCCATCAGACACATGGCTCCGCCTACTTCTGTTCCAGTTGGAACAAACAAGGTCTTTTACCCACATTTATCTCCCATATTTCACGACGTCCTTGACCTACGGAGCTTCTCGTTGACATTGTCATCTCCCATGCATTTATCAAGAAAGTCTTATTCCAACATTCCGATATAAAGAAAAGAAAAATCTGCTCTCTCATCACTGACACAAATATGTTCGTTCCACTTTTCGTCAAACGTCCTTGACCTGCAGGTGTAAATGAACCATCTGCCTTTGCCTCGGCACAGAGAATTTGAATAATGTATTGAAGCCAACATCTTGTACTGTACAACAAAGAACGAACCTTTGTTTGTGACCATCCTGTTTCAGGAGAGCGTCGATAATCCCCTCTACAATGAAGAGGTTCACGTCGTGGACGAGGCCGCGAGGACTCCGGGCAAACCTGAGGCTGTCATAAATGTTGGTTAATCATCATTCATGTACTAGATTTAAGACATTTTATTTAAGATTTAAACTATTGGGTATGAGATTTCTACTAGGGATACACCGATACTACTGCTATTTATTTTTATATATTTTTATATATATGTATATATTTTCCAAAAGTCTTCAGCTCTTCATCATAATGAGCACAAATCAGACAAATTTATGAAACAAAAACAACCTTTAATGTAGATTTTTAGTTAGTATTCAAGATAACCTTAAGTCACATGACAAGTTCTCTTTTGAAATGGGAAAAAAAAGTATCCCCAGTACTTGCCCACAACGATATTTGAGTGGTTTTAGCGTGATAAACAAAAACTTACTAAAGATATTCTTCAGTACCTACTTTGCCCAATAAAATTAATTTGTATGAAAAATAAACATACATAGTGTAAATGGAAAAACAATTCAGTCAGACATCTGGTTCCCAAGACAATGGTTTGGTAGGAGAAAAGTGGGTGGGAGTGTGTGTGGTCTGTGAAGTATATAATATACACATATATCAGTCAGGTGTCGAAGATTCAGATAGAGCCGATGGTGATGTCACAAATGCACAATCAGCAAGATAGATGGAACAGTGTGTCAATGAATGTATTGTGAAATGTTGCAATATATTTTTAAAGACTTTCTTAATGTTTCTTTTTTTCCTTTTGCAGTTGGAACCCAGTGGAGACGACAGATTTGTATCTTTTAAAAATCCTTCATACCCAGTAAGTCCTAAATAACGTAAAAGCAGAAAATGAATGTGACAGCAAGGACTAACAGGCAGCTGAGTGTATTTAAAGAATGTTTATTTATATTTATATATTACACATCACATCCATATGTCCACACAGGTGAGTATGAGTGATGAAAACGTTGCCATTTTCTCTCTGTACCAACAGGACTATACTGACCTTCCTGCTCATGAGTCTGACATTTGACATGCCACAACTCATTCTATGGCACAGTTCAAACAGTCTTCGTCCCTTCAAACACGGGTCGACGCGGAATCACGTTTGTTTATAAATGAAAATGACACGTCAATAACATGTCACCTCTATTTTCTGTGTTTTTTTGTGTCAAATAAATCCAAGCAATCAATAGTTACAAGTGTCCAATAACTGAATCAACTGTAATAATAATAATAGCTTGTAGTGCATATGAACCTATTTGAGATAAAATATTTGTTTCCTCTATTTTTATCTGTAATATTTGTAAAAAAAAAAAAGATTGTGATAATAAACAATTAATAGATAAGACTTTTTTGTGTCTATTCTGTCACAACTACTTTGCTTGGTAAACCAGCTCAACACAAACATAAAACAGACAAAGCCTTCAAGTGACAACATAAAACAGATAAGGCCAAAACCAGCCACTAGGGTGCACAAACCAGTGTTTTATAGTGCTGTTCCCAAGCCCGGATAAATGGTGAGGGTTGCGTAACTTGCTGTATCGTATTATATATTAATGTCTTATTATATATATTACAATATATAGTATATATATTATATACTATATATATTATATACTATATATATATTATATACTACATATATAATATATATACAGTATAAGGTGAAGGGAAAGGTTTACAGGACGGTAGTGAGACCAGCCATGATGTATGGTTTAGAGACGGTAGCAATAGACAGAAGACAGGAGGCAGAGCTGGAGGTGACAGAGTTAAAGATGCTAAGATTCTCTTTAGGAGTGACAGGAATGGACAGGATCAGGAATGAGGTCATTAGAGGGACAACACAGACAGGAAGGTCTGGAGAACAAGCTAGAGAAGCCAGATTGAGATTTATACGTTTTCCTCTCCATTTCTCGACTTCTTCCACTTCTTTGCTGAGCTTCGTTTGCGCTATGTGTCGCAATACAATTGTGCCCTGTCCTTTCCCTCTATAGAAATCAAAGACACACATAGAGTTCAGAGGTCAAATGACTTTCAACTTAAAAGGACGAGCAGTGCAATGAAGCTAGCTGAATGACAGCACTAACACAAAATGATGAAATTCATTCACAACAGAATTAGACTACATTTACCTGAATTGGTTTATTTTATTATTTTCTATTTAGTCTATAGTCCATTTTTTAACAGAACAAATATCAAGGTAGGGAAGTATATGCCTTGTCAGAATAACAGCCAAAGGATCATCAGTTATTTTGAACGTGTCTTTTCACAAGAGTAATATGTAATGGAAATGCAAACAATAGCCTTGAGAAATGTCTTTGAATGTTTGGCTCTACCTCTAAAGTTGAAGTGTTGCTAGATGGATGATGTATTGATGGCTGGAAGGATGGATGGATGGATGGATGGATGGATGGATGGATGGATGGATGGATGGATAACAATGAATGAACTGATAACAATAAGCATTAACAAATGATCAATTCTCACTCCACCACTAACTAAATTGATATTTTCTTATTGACTCTGTTGTAGCCATGGCTGAGCTGTGGTACATTCTGACGGATACAGACGCCCCGGCAGAAAATGCTAGTACCTGCTACAGCACCACGCACAGTACTGTGCTGAGTGGAATCCCTTTTGGAGGAGTGCCAATAGTTTTCATGTTATATCTTGCAGTCTTTTTGGTAAGTCAGTTATTTCACCCTCCTTATCAATACCAAGTGTGTGTTCATAGTAAGATTTCCTTGTGAGTACTTCCTAAGTTTGACGGTAACCAGCAACAATTTTGTTGCCTTTAGTTTTTGGGGTTGCTCTTCTCTGTCCTCAAGCAGTTTTCCGATCACTGGCGCATAGCACATTTCGCCGACCCTGACAATCAAACGTGAGTTAGAAACCAAAAAAAAAAAAAAAATCCTTGGCCTGTGTCTGTGGAAAAATGTGTCTAACTTTAATTTTGTTCACAGATTCTCTGATGAACCGACCCGCATTGTGCAGCGTGCACGGAGGGAAGATCAGCGAGAAATGGTATGTCAATCCTTCAAGTTTTTATCCTTCAGCAATATTTCAATTAAACCAAGAATTTTGAATCAATTCGGTTCGGTTTGATTATCAACGACAGTATCAAGAGCTGGTAGGCCACTACCAGGAAGTACCGCGGACCGGTAGCTCCTGTCTCAACGTTATGCATGGGCAAACGTTTTGACTGGCGGGCCACAATTGTCCCAAAATTGAACAAGGGGGATGGATCAGGACCAGATGGATGGAGCAATTCTTGTGAACTAAGATAAATGACATGTAAAGTCATGCATAAAGGCTAAAATGCTAAAATGCGTTTAGCATTTTCTACACCATCTATTGGGGAAAAGTGGGTATTGCAGGGAAAAGGAAGTATAATGATAATATAAATAAATTATATAATTTGGAAAGGTATGGTGGGCCGGATTAAAAAGCTGAATGGGCCGCATCCGGCCCCCGGGCCTTAGTTTGCCCATGCCTGCTGTATGCCACCTGTGTGGGATATGGAATGATTGTTAAGGCCTGGTGAATTTGCAAAATAAAACATATTTTATACATTATCCTATTGGAATCTAAAAGATTTTTTTCTGCTGAATTGCCTTTAAAAGAAGAAAGTAAATGAAAATAAATGGAATCTCCTTAAATTAAGTGGATTAAATTATTAATCCCTTGTCTTATTCTCGCCTCTGGGAAATATGTTTTTCCCCCTGCCTACTTATTACACCCTATTTTGTATTGGTAATATACAGTGATCGCTCTCTTATCTCGGTAGTTGCGTTCCAAGACCCACTGTGAAAAGGGAAATCCGCGAAGTAGAGTTGAGATAGTTATTATATTATTTACTTATATATTTACCCTTTACGAACCGCAAAACCTTTACAAAACTGTGAACGGCGGTCTGTGAAGTAGGGAATAAATTAGGCTTTGCCATCCCTCTTCAGTTGCTTTTTCCAGAGCCACAGTACAATCATGTGATGTTTACGTAACATAAAAATGTCTGTGTGTCTTCAGGGCTTCATATCGTGGCTACCATATTTTCTCACCTTAAGGTAAAATGGCAGTTTCATTCTATTCTTGTAGGTCACTAACCTCCGGAGGTCCATTAACCTCCCTTAACTTAGATCAATGTCACCGATGTTCATGTGTTGTTATTCCTGTGATGACTTTCTGCATTAGTGAGGATCAGATCAAGGACCGGTGCGGCCCAGACGGTGTTAACTACCTGTCCTTTCAGCTTCACCTGGTCATCGCGTTGTTTCTCATGAACACCTTTGCCATGGCAGTAACGCTGCCTGTCAACATGAATGGACATCTCCTCGGTGGGTTTGGCGTAACAACTATGCTATAATTGACTTTTCTGCTTTTCTACTTTTATATACTTTTTTTCCCCAGGTAATAACACCCTGACTTTTGGAAGGACAACTGTTGCAAATATTCGCAAGGGGTACATTTTATACAATTCTTGCATGAATAATAACTTTTAGAGATTACATCCTGTCATAGTGTTTTGGTAACACTTGTCCATTTGCTTCTAGGAACAACGTAATATGGTTGCATACAGTGATCCCAATTATGCACCTGCTTCTGATGGTTGTACTGCTGCAGCATCACACGTCGAAAATGACAGACAGCGAAATAGTAAGTCACGCTTTGTCCATATTTAAAATGTAAATAAATAATGATTTCACTTTTCAATTTTCAATTGAATAGCTCTGAAACATACCATGCACACTTAATACAACATTAAGAAAAAATGTGTAGCTACTTGCGAGATTATGAAATAGGATGTCTGGTCTTTTTATTTATTAACGTTTTTTTGCTTCAATGCAAGTCTGTTGCTCACTTAAGCTAATAGTGAAAGGCCTGTGCTGCTATATTCTAATGTTGGTCATCATGGTGGTACTCAGAGAGCTCATTGTTTTCTCAGGTGGTACAGAGTATAAAATGTTTGACAACCAAAAGTGATAGGAGCTTCGAATGCAACACGTTAATGCGAGAGAGCTTCTGAGGCGATGTAAAATAAGTTGGAAAAAGTTGCGGCATTGCGACAACCAATTAGCGACGAGTTTACCGTGACGTCACATTCCTAAAGTTAATAGAAGTTGGCGAACAATGGCGGACACTCTTTACATCGCTGTGTGTGGCCATCAACGCTGCTGCAAAGCTTTATTTGGACCGGAAATAAAGCGATATAGGCTAAAGTTAGCCTGGAGGGGAAACTCTCCGGTAAATTGTGAGGCTTTTTGTGGCTAGTTTTACTATTGTATGCCAGAGGTACCGCTGGGACTCGTCCAGACGTAGTGCCTGGAAGAAACGATGAAGTTCACTCGGCTGCGGCGGCGCGACTGGTTTCCGGTGCTTCCGGTACAGTAGGTAGAGTGCAGCAGCTTGTTATTGCCAACACCACTGCTACGTTTTATTGAAACGTGATAAAACTGAGTAGTCATGGGCCGAAGTTAGCCAGGAGGTGGAACTCGCCTGTAAATTGTGAAGACTTATTGTAGCTTGTTTTACTATTGTGAGGTATCGCTGGGTTTGGCGGGTTGACAAATGAACGGATAAATAACTGTCCCGCACGCCATTTTTCTAGGGCTGAACAAGCGCATGAGCATGTATCGCTTGATATCAGAATCAAAAATTAAGTGTTTGGACAATATCGGATATCCGTTGTTGAAATGTTTTTGTTTCGCCTCTATTCCTTTTGCTGTGAACGCAGCTTTAGCCTGGTCAGGATTAGGCTAGTTGCAGAGAATCGGCAGTTACTTTGTCGTGCGAAAAATCACACTTATCTGTACAGTTCAAACACTGTGGAGAACACGTGTGAACATGTTTACCTAAAGAGGAAAAAGACAACTAGAAACAACAAACCCATTCAACTTGTCTGCTTATTTAATAAGAAAAAAGAAAATGCAAAACATTACTCCTTAAACAACTAGAAACAACAAACCCATACAACTTGTCATAAACTGACAAACACTTATTCCTCCTCAAAAGTCTTGGGTTTGTCATAAACTGACAAACACTTATTCCAAGTGTACTTCTTGTTACTCCTTGCAGTACTAACTATTATTAACTACTAGTCTTGATTTTATTAAAATATTATTGGAATATATAATACAATCCACAATTTACAAAAGTCACTCTAACCACATTCTTTTTTCTTTTTTTTTTTTTTTGTAACCACATTCTTTTTTTCTTTTTTTGTAGACCAAAAACACTTTGTTTATTTCTAAGATTCCCAAAAAGGCAACCAAAGAAGACATCGAAGCCCATTTCAGGTGAGTGGACTACACTGTGATACGTCAGCTGTTAATAAAGCATGATTATTTATAGTAAGTTGGTCTGCATTTAGAAACAAGTTCTCAATTTTTCCTCATACAGTGAAGCATATCCTTTCTGTCGGGTGTCCGCCGTATCACTGGGCTTTGACGTAAACAAGCTAATGAAGCTTCACACAGAAAGGTGAGGAATCGAACGCCTGCTGAATTTGTCTATTAGTAAAAGACCACAATTCTTCAACTTTCCTTTGACATATAGGGCCATAATCTTAAATAATCTCAATCTGCCAAATTCACTTGTAGGTTTTGTACTGTTTTTATACATTGTATATATACAATATATATGTAATATATACTACATGTACAATATATAATATATACAATATTAGGATAGAGAATTCTTCAGTTCAATTAGTTTAGTTTTTCCTTTATTTTTTTTATTTACCAGAGTGCGGATAGACAAACACCTGCACTTCTACAAGAATATTAGAAGGAAAACAGGAATCCGGGAGATGATTGAACCCTCTTGGTTAAGGAGAATGTTCATCGGTGGGGAGAAGGTGAGATGGAATGATGTTGAGAGAGCTTGAACCAAGTGTTGAATGAATGTATTGTAGGTGTTGTTTATTCTAGGAGGTTTTGTATTTACGGTAGATTTGCCATTGTAAGATGATTGTAAGAAGATTTTAACAAATGATTTCATTAATACATAATATAATGGCTAAATTAATAACCAAATAATAATAAAGGATGCTAAAATGCATTGATTCTTGTATTCGCCACAAACCCCAACTAAAATAAGAGTATAAATACACACTAAATATATTTTGTTACGTATTTAATTTTTTTTTTAATCATACAAAATACTGATACATACCTTACAGTTTTTAACAATACGTTTTGATCTGTAAAACAGATACTTCTGTGTATTTCTGTTTTTTTGACAATAATGACACTGTAAATTGACTTATTAAGGTGTCATGTTGTGTCAGCAGTATTTTTTTGCAATGTTTGTTTCATCCAATATTTAGGTTGATGCCATAAATCACTACCGTACTAAACACAAAGTGGTGCTGGAAGTGATTAAAAAGGAAGCAGAAGATGTTCCACAGCACCCTCTAGGAATTGTTTTTGTAACTATGAAGACTGAGACCATGGCCAATTGGTGAGTTTCTTTTAGTTTTCTATTTTTACACGAGGAATCTATAAAAAAAAAATCTATATTATTTGACAACTCAAACATTAGCCCACATTTTTGCAAGTGTTTTTGTTTTGCAATATCAGTTTGTTTTTTTTTATCCAACAACCTGCTATCATTTTCTCTGCACAGCATTCTGAAAGACTTTAACGCAGTTGAGCATGGCAGCTTCTTTTTTGGGATGGAGCCTCAACCCTCATCTCATAGTCAAAAGCTGAAGGTGAACAAATGGAGAGTGAAGATCGCACCTCATCCTCAAGATTTGAACTGGTAAGATTTAAACCGCATGGAAATACGTTTTTCTGCACGATATCAGGGAACGAAAAAATATATGTCAAGTGAAGCAGGCGCTGTCAAATTCTATGATATTGATATTGATCAATTGCTCTTCCATTCTGCAGGGCAAATCTGTCAGTGCAAGGTTTCTCCTGGTTCATGCGTAATGTAGTGCTCAATATTGTCCTCTTCCTTGTGCTCATCTTCCTCACTACTCCAACCATCATTTTGAACACCATGGACAAGCTTGATGTGACGAAGACCATTGAAGACCTTCATGTACGATGAATACCTTTAACTAGTCACCAAATTACTTTCAGGTGTGCACCATTCAGCTGACTTTGTTCTGTTTCTGACCCCAGAGTCCCATTATCAGTGAGTTTTTCCCCACCCTCCTGTTGTGCATCTTCTCATTAGTGCTTCCTACCACAGTGTATTATTCCACAAAGGTAGAAGGACACTGGAGCAGGTATGATTTATGAGTTTGTTTTTCTTTCTTTTTTTAAAAAAAAGGCTTAAAGGTGATATGTTGAAATCTTAAATGACAATATAACAATTTTTTTATGTATAATTCTATAGTATGTAATAGTGACCAGGTATGTTTAGTTTATGTGATTAAATATATATTCAACATTTTCAATTTAGGTAGATTCCTTTAGCCCAGACATTTAAACAGCAACACCCAAGATGCCCCTGTAATAGATGATCGGATACGAACATGCTTATTTTAAATATGTTTCCGTAAAAAAACCCTTAAGAGCACTGTCACAATGTCAAGTAGTTCACTTCCTACTTTCCTAATACAGTGGAACTTTAAGATACAAGCTACCTAGAACAGGAGTATTTCATGTCACAAGTCTAAAAGTATTGCAAGAAACATGACCAATGTGACTAATCCAAACGGTGTATTTGTTTCCGTGGAAAAATATGAAGAAAGATTTAAAAAGGTATAACGGACATTTAAACTCCACAGACTTGACAAGACACAGAGCATTTTGTTCAGCGATTTGTAGAATGTTGTGGAGGATTGAGAGTTTCTTAAAGCAGGTGGTGGAGACAGTATTTTAATCACCTTTACGCTAGGTGAAACAAAAAGATGTTTTAAATTACAATCGATTGTGCATTACAGTAATATATAGGTGGATGGATTATTAGATTATCAGTGGGCATCAGTCGGCATATGAATTGAAATGTGTTCAAAATTTGACTCACTTTATCTTCCAAATTTAATTCACGCACATTTGTGTTAACATTGACAGCCATAGAAATTATTTAAATAAACTGTAGAACTGTAAAATTTAATGCTTATTGATACATAACATATTTTCCAGACTATAAGTTGCTGCGGAGTATAAGTTGCACAAGCCAAAAAATGTGTAATGAAGAAGAAAAAAACATATACAAGTTGCACCAGCCAGCTAGAGTGCCCTCTAGCGGCTGTCAGTGTGAAAATAACAAACATGTGAAATTATATATTTTAATATATAAGTTGCAACTGAGTATAAGTCCCAAACCCAGCCCACAATGAAGGTGCTACTTTTAGTTTGGTAAATACGGTAATTTACTTCCAACATGTGTTTAGATCCCCTCAGGGTGGATGTTCAGAGCACGTCACAGCATCCACCCTCATGCACACATAACACACAAACACATGTTTTAATGACATGGCCCTGTCTCTTTCAGCTCCAGTGAACAGGTTAGCATGATGCGTAAACTCTATTTCTTTCTGATCTTCATGGTGCTGATCCTTCCCTCACTTGGACTCTCAAGGTAATTTGTGAATCTATTGCTTAAAAATGTTTATAACAATTTAACAATTTAACTTTGTTTTTTGTTTTTTTTGTTGGTGTTTTCAGTATTTCAGTATTTTTCCGTTGGCTGCTAGACCAAAAGTTTGTGGCAGATTTGAAAGTAAGATTTGAGTAAGTACTTTTACATTGTTTTTTTTTTTCAATTATTAAAATGATAATGATAAAAGCAGGCTGATAAAATGATTTTAAAATGATAAAAAATAATTTCTAGAATTTAAACATTTTCAGTATGTTGCTGTTTCTTTTTTTTAACCCCCATTTTCCTGATGTCTCTTTTACACCAGGTGTGTGTTCTTACCTAACCAAGGGGCCTTTTTTGTAAACTATGTTGTCGCGGCAGCCTTGGTCGGCTCTGGGATGGAGTTGCTGAGGATCACTCAGTTGTTGAGCTACCACATTAGGCTGATGCTGGCAGGTTCTGATGCTGGACGGAAGTATATCAAAGAGGTAGGAAGGCTAGGCTAGACACAAATGTACCACTGCTGTAATGCTTGAATGATAACAAGCCTCCAGTCACTAGGTGGCAGCGACTCATACAGTGGTTTGTACAGATAGAAATATACATGTTATCAGGTTATTTTTTTCTGTTTTTGTTGTGATGGGAGTTTGAGTGTGTGCTGAAAAAGAGTGAGACAATATTGGGAGACAGGGGGCGCTCCTTTGTTTTGTTTTTGTGAGAGATAAACAGAGTCATTTTGACAAGACATGACGAATTCAAGTCGTTATTTTCAGACTGACCTGATTTGTCCTTGCAGAATCACGCCTACATTTTTTCGTATGGTTCTGCCTACGGATGGACTCTCTGCGTGTTTACTGTGGTTATGGCGTACAGTGTCACCTGCCCCGTTATCGTACCTTGTGGTAAGTAGTGTTACGCTTTTCACAGTCTGGCTTTTGCTTGTCTATTTCATTTATTTTTGCAACAAACATTTCCATATTTTGAATCCAAGACTTTTTACATTTTCACAGACACAAAATGTACAAAAAAATGATCAAAATCATAGTATAATTTAGAAATATTCAAGGGCCAATTATTTTGTATATTATATATATTATATGTTCATGAAAATGTACTGAAATCTTCACGGAGGTCAAGGGTAGAATGACGTCATTAACATGTTTAGTTTTTTTTTTTCCAAAATTACTTTGTTTTGTATAAGACAACCAAGAAAATATATAAATAAACAAGTGGTGTCCTGTCATGTGTGTTGGTCAGGGCTCCTGTACATGCTGGTGAGACACCTAGTGGACAAATTCAACTTGTACTACGCCTATCGGCAAGGCTGCCATTCCCGCAAAGTTCATCAAGCAGCTGTCAATCAAGCTCTAGCTGCACCAATCATCAGCCTCATCTATCTCTACTATCTGTCATTCCTCAGAATAGGTACCACTGACTATAAATCAAAGTTATGTGGTCTGGAGATTGATACTATAGATATTATTTGGCATTTGTGTAGATGGAGTACTACATAAAGTTTCACGCAGCTGATGTTATTTCAGGATTCTGGGGTCAGAGGACTCTTTTCCTGATGGTGTTTCTTTGTGTCACCATCTTCATCTGTTGCGGCTACACCTGCTTTGGCTATTTCAAATACCTAAGTCCGCACAAGTATAAGGTAACGTTCTTTTAACACTTGTTGCATTCTTTCACATCCACCCATATAACTGCAAACGAGTTCATCGTTCATTAGTGTCTCTCTGAAGTGCATGTCACTCTGATGACTACTTCGTTGTTTTTTTTACATTATTAGCAGTTTCCCAGCATCAGCACTAAGTGTCACCAAAAACACACACCTGTAGAAACGCACGTATGCTAGTTAAGCGTAAGGCCAGGACATTTCTACGATCATTTCAATTTTGAAACGTCTGAAAGTGAGCCTGGAAAAGGACCTACAACACTTTTTTGTGCGTTGGCAACTTTAAAAGACCCCAGAATCTTTCCGTACCTACAGTTTCTGGATTTTTGCGTACCGCCCTTTTTCACGATGAAATCCACGCACGTTTAGTACATCAGGCACTTGGTCATATAAAACTTAAAAAAATAAAAAGCCTGAGCATGTTAACTGTGTAAACACCATTCTCAGACTGGACCTCAATGTTATTTTTGTTGTTTGCAGGTTATAGACAAAGGCAAGGAAACAGAAGAGGAAATCATGGAGGTAAAGTCAGACCAACTCACATATTAAGGAATTTGAATGACAGGAAATACTTGGTGAATGGACTTAGACTTCGGCTTCCTTGATTTGTCATTTAGATTTACATCAAAAGGAAATTATGATGCAGTTGGCTCGTATCACAACCGGAATAAAAGGCAATTTATGCAGTAAAAAAAAAAAGTACTGAAATACCTAAAATAGAAAAACTAAAATAATTACACAGTGTCAATTTACAATTTAAAAGTATTGCACAGATACGAGGAATTGCACAGGTAGAGATTAGTGACGTGTGTGTGTGTGTGACCAGGTCTATTAATGACTAAAACGTGAATGTGGAGGGACTCATTTGTCATTTATCTCCCCCTGTTGTGTTGAATTACAGGCCTTTGTTCCAAAACAGCTGGATCCAGAATCCTACATGGACACAGAGGATAACCAGCCTGACATATTTGACACATATACCGTCTGAATCAGTGGGTTTCAATTGGCTGCTTAAGCGTTGTTAAACATGAAGATGGCAATAAAAATTGAAAGTGATCCAGTTGAAAAAGAATGATAAAGTGAGATAAAGTCATTTTTATAAAGATAAATATAAAATAAATATCAAGGTTATCATAACTAAAAGCAAGTAAACCATAAATCTTTTTTTTTTCATATGAAATTCTGTTTCCTGCTATTACTCTTTTTGCAAATACTCTTGCATCCTTTTGGCCATTGTCTCTGACATACTTGTTCTTCTTAGTGATGTCATTATTAACAAAAAGTATCTGGAGAGTGAAATTTTTACTGAGGCGTTTAAATGTCATTTAAATCAAATGTAACTTTTCTTTTCCTTTTGTCTTTCAATAATTTGTAGTTAATACTACAGGGGCCTCCGACCTTTTTCCCCAAAGCTACTTCTACAAAAAAAAATGGTTAGGAGCTACTCATGTTGTCCAACATTTATTTTCATAGCTCATTTCTAACAAACAAATTATTATTACGTATTTACGTACTTCTCTGCTGGTCTAACATAAACAGTGATCATAAGTTGATAAAAGTTCATTTAATTTTTAATTTACTTTTCCTAAATACAGAAAGAATACTTCATATTCTTCATATTCTCTTCATGTCATATTAGGCTCCTTGTAGTGTTGTTGTTTTTAGGTTCGAGTTTTTATCCTATCAGAATTCAGCTAGCTGTTGCCAGGCTGTATGAAATCTGCCAGAGGCCTTCAGAATCAACAATGCGGGCGTCTGTGCAATGTAAGTGAACGGGCACATACAGTTGATGGACAGTTACGATATCCAATCAGATCACGAGTTGTTGACAGTAGGCCTTTAAGCTGGCCTCACGTTGAACGTGACATGTATGCGTCCTGTGATTGGATACTCGCTTACCGCGGTAAAACAAGAAGTAAGTTCGACGCAGATTAACCGATTAGCAGGCAGAGAAATCTAATATCTACTCGCTTTTTTATTCCACAATAGACGAAGGAGGGCAAAACGTGGACTTGCGAACTTAAATTGTTTAACTAAGGCAGCAATGAGACACCAAAGCACGACTGGAAACTTGCAAGCTACGGTGCTTCTAAAAACGTTTGGGGACATCCGAGTGGATGAACAGCTCAACGAACAGGTGCGAAAGGGATTCATTGATGGAACTGAAGGCACAGATAAACTGTACAACCAAGTCATTGATGTCTTCTTGAGGAAAGAAAGTAGAATGGATTTGTGTTTTGGTGAGTACAAACATTTTGTTTATTTACTTGCGGAATTATTGATTTTTTAATGCGTCAGAAAATAGCCCGTTTTGTACACAACTGAGGTGATGCAATGCCCAGTAGTGCTTATAGTGTGTTTCTGTATATAATTTCTCCCGCGGTGGTCACGTGGTGTCCTAAATTATGATATTATAAGAGGTATTTATTGAAGTCGGACTAAGTAGGACATCACTGAAGGCCTAGGTGTGAAATGCGCTACCCGCCATTGTTGTAAAGTGGTATTGCAGTGGTGTTGGTATTTTAATTTTTAATTTGGTTTTCTTTCATCAAAAGTTCTAAGTTCCCTTGTCGCCCTCTGCTGACCATAACGAGCACTCATCAGCAAGTGTGATGAGTGCACGATTCGCCCTCTTGTGGCTCAACAGAGTGTGGTTGCCTGTTTGAGCCACCAGAGGGCGAATCGTGCAGACATTCTATTGGGACCTTCTTGTTGGCGCAGCTAAACCGAACAACCGACCGCATTTACTAGATTCCATCATAAAATGTGTCCCTACGCTAAACTGTCCTTGAGGAACATGATTAAAATAGATGTCGATAGAAGAAAAACAAAAATAAAAATAAAATAATCATAAATAATAACGATTAAAAAATAGTTTATCATTTTGCTACTGTTTTTTTCGGTCTTTCTAATGCAGCCAAGTTTGCTACTGTGAATGCTACGTTTATATCTGCCATTAAGATTGTAAAAACACTTGTAGAGTGCAGTCGGTTGTGCTCTTTTGTTCAGCAGAGGGCGACATTTAGTAGGAAGGAAATAAAAAAATTAAAACAGCTTTATTTTTCAGCAATGCACAAAAGATTTAAACCTGCGATCCTTTACTTAGATGAGTACCTATCTTACAGCTAGATGATGATAATTTAGTCACTAACGAATCATTAGAAAAAAATGTATTAATTTTTTTGATTTTTTAAAATACATTCCTTTACTTTCACGTTATTTTCCACACAACTGGATCCCAAAACTAAAATTTCTTTCAGACACAAATTGACAAAAACATGAAACTGAATGTGAATCCATCATGTTCTTTAAAAATGCTAAAAGTATATTTGTCAAAAATTATCCCAAAAATGTTAGATTATAACTTAAAAAGAAAATATAATCTAAAAACACCTACAATTGTCACAATGTGTACAATTTTCACTAAAAATCCCCCAAAACATCATATTTTGTTTTGTTGAAAATCACCTCACATCTTAAGTCGACATTGACCAATCAAGGTTGACAACAGGGCAAATTAATAGCTAAAGTGCAACTATCAGTAATCACTTTGTGTTAAAAGGAAGCTGGAAAACCACCCATTTTGATTGGATAAAAATGCAAGCAGACTTGCAAGCAACCAAGTCAGTTTTTCAAATTCATCTATGATTCATTTGCACTTTGGTGAGCTACTTGAGCAACTCGCGTACATTTGAGAAGGGCGGTTAGCTTACAATTGGAGGGTGGTGGAATTGATTCCAGACTAATTTATGTTTCCCCCTGGCAGCTCTGCAAAGTACAGATGTTTTTTTTTTAGGCACAAAGAACTCAAACAAAATCAAACAAATCCTGGTTTGGTTTGTGGGAATTATTTATTTTATACTTGTGTAACAATTATAAACCAAACAAATAACAAAAACAATGTTGCATGATTTAACAATATGCAAGGCCTTTCACTTCCACAGCTTCTTGATGGACATGTTCTTCTCACTGTCTTTCTGCATCACCTGGTGGGGAAGGAGGAAGGTGGAGATCAGTGTCAGCGTGAGTAGTAAAATATTGTGCTATTTTATATGTATTTTTGTATAATGAGAGAATTTAAAAAAGGATGTACAATCGACTCCATTGTGTTTCACTTACCTTTGCTACAGCCATCTCAAAGTCCTCTTGGGTGACGTGAACTCTCCTTTCTCTCAGAGCATACATGCCAGCCTCTGTGCAAACACCCTGAGAGGACACGTAACACTCCCTTCACCTTTTTCTCTTTTCAAGGTCTCAAACAGGCTTTTAGCCTTCTCTTGAATCAACACAAGTGTCACTGGGATACGTCGTTGACGCTGATCTTCCAGCCACAGCATTAATAATCTTTCCATCTCGACAATGAGACCACTACGCTGCTTTGTAATCACTGTTGATTTCATAGGAGGAGATCCTTTCACATGTTCAAGTATACGCTTTTTATCGCAGATGATCGTCGAGACGGTCGTGCGACTTAAGCCAAGCACCCGGCCGATGTTCGTCGGTGTTTCGCCCTTTTCTGACCGTGTTATTATGTCTAATTTCACTTCCATGGAAATTGCTTTCCTTTTCTTTAAATAAATACCCTCAGAAGAGTCTGATTTACGCTTGGGAGACATAATGATGATACATAAAATGTAGCACAATCCAATATGGACCGGCTAAGGTAAACAAAGCCGTCTCGTCCGGTCCGCTCGCCAACTACTTCCCAAGCGAAAGTTGTTTGAATGTAACAAACATCGCACGTAAGTATGATGGAACAAGACTTTCTTCAAAAACTGTGGGATGTTGCGACGTAACCACGAAACGCCGTAGGTCGCGGACGTCGTAAATAAAGGACTTGCTGTACGTTAACCATGTCACTGCCCGAGCTGCAGCGCGGCCATTTTGCGCAAGCGCAAAAACACCACGTTCTCGGACCTCTACATACGGTAGCTGCACTTGGACAAAATTAATTAGAGTTGAGTTTTCTGCGGCGGCGCGTTTGGGCTCGCGCAACATAGACCAAAAAAACAAAAAACAAAAGCAAGCAAACGCTTTAAGGTAAGACAAGACCCAACTGGAAAGACTGTGAAGCCCCTCACCAGAACCCTGCCTTGTCCTGCAGTCTCTGGACAGAGGAAGATGTCAACATTCCCAGCAGGAGGAGTTTCTGTCTGAACGTTTTTAGTATTCATTCAGTGTTCTCTGTCTGGCATCAAACTCCTAGAAACTAAGACCTCACACCATGGATGGAATGTACTCCAACTGTAGCTATTTAGAGGGACGAATTGAAATTAACTCCACTTCAGCCCACCCCATAAATAAAATGAATTGTAAAATTTAAAAATATTAAAAAGGAAAATGAAGCAAGAATAAACAATAATTCTAATAAAAGTCACATGTACCACTAAAGTGCTTTCAAGTACCACAGAAGGTACACTTTGCATTAACCATCACTTCTACTGAAGTTGTTCCTTAGAAAACGAGGATTAAATAATGTCTTAATTTCTTATTTATTTTAAAATAATAATAATAATAAAAATATTATAAAAAACTCTTGTTTTGCTATGTTTTTTTTCTTATAGCGGATTCGTCTGTTTTACTTCAGCAGCTGTTTGACACAGAATGAAAACATCTTACATTAGAGACAACTGTTGGCTGAACTTATTTTCCTGCATGATAATAAAGCACAAATAAAAAGACAGATGCATTGTCATCTGTGAATGCTGGTGATGTTGGTCATGATAAAATGACAGAATAATTAAAATATCAAAGTGAACTTCGATGTACTACATAATATAAGACTACGACTATTTTTGGATTACTGCTGCCCTCCCGTGGGCTGTGATGACACTACATAAATATATTTGTGCGTTAAAAAAGAAACACAAGAGAATAATACTTTTTTAATACTACCGAGGGATATTTGATTATCTAAAACGTCATTCTGTAAAGAATTGTGCTAACGTTTCAGGGAAGTGTGTACGTGTATTATACTGTATATATATGTCCTATATTTACCGTATGTACTATATTTACACTATACCATATGTATATGTACTAATGTACAATATTCAACAAAATCAATGTACTGGAGGCACAAGCTTTTTTAAAAAAAGGAAAATATCTGTGTATTCAAAATAATACACTTGTGTAGGCTATAAGTTTAATCATTAAAATACAGTGGTGGGCCTTCATTGAGTCTGTGCAATGTAAGCGAACCGAAGCGAACGGGCACATACAGTTGATAGACAGTTACGATAGCCAATCAGATCACGAGTTGTTGACAGTAGGCCTTCAAGCTGGCCTCACGTTGAACGTGACATGTATGCGTCCTGTGATTGGATACTCGCTTACCGCGGTAAAACAAGAAGTAAGTTCGACGCAGATTAACCGATTA